TGTGCGGCGCGTCGAGTGCGTGCGGTTTCGCGTCGGCGGCGATGGGTATGAATCACCTGTTGACGAGGAGGAAGATGATGACGAGACGGAATCTTCCACCGCTGCGGGAAGACATGGTGCGCGCAATATCAAGGAGACGTTTGATGTCTTTTTCAACGTGGCATTTGGGGGCTTGACGGGCGAGTGGGTTGCTAAAGGGTTGGATATGTCTGCTGTTATGGATCCGGAGGATGATGCTGAGGCCACCCGGGATGCTGCTGTGTCTGGGGCGGATCCGAATGCGGAGAGTTGGAAGAGTAGGTATCTGGATGCTAGGAGTCAGCTTTGGCAGAGTAGGGAGGAGGTGGGGAAGCTCAAGGATAGGATTCTTGAGGCTGTGTTGTGAGGTTGTCGCCTTCCCTCCCCCTTTTTCATGTGTTTTATATTCATCCAAGGGTGAATTTGTATAAGATATGTTTGGCGTATATAGGGTGTGTTGGGTTGGATTGGATTGGGTGGTTGGGATTTGTTATATACCCCAGTGTTGTTGTGTAGCTGCTGTTGGGACCATTTCGGGTTCGTACTCCTTTCTGGATGAAAGGGGATTATTCATTTTAGTCTTGCTGCATGTAGATAGTTTTAGTATATGAAGTTCGTTTTTATTTCTGTTCTTTTGACTGTGCGTGCATTGGTGTTGTGGTAGTGGTTGATTGAGGCGGTGCTTTGTTTCTTGATAAATGGTATTGCATATGTGGGTTTGGAAGACTCCCTTAGTTTTAACACTGTGTTCCGCTTCATTGATTTTCCGCAAGACATTCAAGTCTATACATCATCCTTCAAATCACCTTCGAGCAGTAAATAAGTTGGAGAGCTAGATGCGCTGAGGGCCATTTTGCATGACACCCACTTCCTGTGATCATTAAAAAGTCATTTCCCTCTACATCTATATCCCTTAAATCATCTCTGACTACTTAAGCAAACCTAGGGACCAGAAATCAAATCACGCATTTAAATACTACTCGCTTCTTTGGCAGCTTCGACAGAAACCTCGTCCTTTTCCCATGGCTTCTTCCGCTTGGGCTTCGTCGCTTGCGTCCCTTGTCCTTCTAGCACTGTAGGCGGAATCTCCTTGATACCTGGTACTGGTTTTCCGCTCGTGATCAATTCGACTATGTGGGCGAAGCTGGTAGGGTAAGGTGCGGGCGGCTCGGTTGCGGTTGGAGGCGAGGGAAGAATGCCGCTTGGTTCGGTAGTTGTAGGGGGAGTAGCGGTGCTTGTGGTGGTAGAGGGTAATTCTTCGTCTATGACAGAGGATGCAAGTACATTGGTTGAACTGGGGGGTGTAGGAGGTGGCCGGTTGCGGGCGTTGCGGTAGGCTTTGTAAGCGTCAAAATCAATGTTTTTGTTGTATTTCCTACGCAATCTGAATCAGTATAATTTGACAGAATAACCCAACATGGTTCACTTTCACCGTTACGGCTGCTGCGTTTGTACATACCTCGCGTAATAAAAACACCGCGCCCGTAATGCTAGCTCAGTCGTTTGCTCTGGCGTACTGTTGCTGCCTATGATCGCTTGCAAACCAGCCTGAAACTCCACATCATCGTCCCAGTTATACCGCTCTAACGCTTCGTAGACGTCGTCTAGTCCATCCGTGGTGACGCTCATGGCTCAACCTCACCCGTTACCCGGTATAAAAATAGTCAGAAACAAAAGACTCGGCGACCTCGAGGGTCATGTGATTCGCTTGGTCATGGATCAACGCGCATGAATCTGTAAGCCCAGACAATGTACGTCGTGAACGTGGTACATGAGGCAGTGTGGGGTAAAGGTTGGCCGGCAGGAGGCTCAAGCTCCCAGGCTACGCCTCGCTAAACATGCGCCAAGTTTCTCTCAGCTTCGTCCCACGACCAACCTCTCTCCGACCTTCCCTCACTTCCCTCCCCCATCAACTTTACGACTTTCCCAAATTCTACCAGCCCTTTCTTTTCTCCTTGAGCTTCCATTCCTTTCATACCTGTTTTGATACCCACCTTACACAGCCATGTCCGAGTTCATTGGGTGAGTCGCGGCTGCACTGAATACCGTTCAAGCTCCAACTGACCTGCGACGCACAGATCTCGCATTTCCCTCATCTCGAAAAGCGACATTCGGTCAGTACCCAGTTGATGCTGGGTTATTGCAGCCATTGACTCGCCATAGCTATGTCGGCACTCTCGTCGAGATCAACTCAGAAGCTTCCACAGTCTCACTAGACAATGTGCGATCCTTTGGTACAGAAGGCCGCAAGGGTGGCAAAGACGAGTACCCTCCATCAGACGTCGTGTATGAGCAGATTGTCTTCCGCGGTAGCGATGTCAAGGACTTGCGCATTGAGGAGCCGGTAAAGGAAAAGGCGCAGCCTGCCATGCCACAGGACCCCGCCATCATCGGAGTAAGTCTACATCCCTTCTTTTCTTCTTCTTGTCCGGTGATGTAAAATTTTCGGATGTAAATCATTAAACCACCGAGAGCGCAAAACCGTGTGGATATTTTCCGTTGCCTTCCTTCTGAGACCTTTACATACAAGCTGGTTCTTGTTCAATTACCTTTGAAGCTAAAGCTGACGCGACGCATGCGCCGCAGGTACAACAAGCTCAGGCACGGCAAGAAAGCAGCCCACAAGACGTGTCCGGTCGCCAACAGCCACCGCAGAACTTCCCTCAGCCTGGTCAGTTCCCCCCTGGTGGCTACCCACCTTTTGGCGGCCCTGGAGGTCCCTATGGCAATCGGTTTGGCCCTCAGGGTGGGTTCCCTGGAGGCCCAGGTCCTTTCCCTCCTGGCGGACCTCCAGGCGCTTTTGGCATGCCTCCGTTTGGCGCCCCTCCTGGATGGTTCCCCCCTGGTCAGGGCTTCCACCAGCCCCCCGGTCCGTTCTCACCAAACATGCCCATCGGCCCTCCAGGCCTAAACCAAAACCAACCTCCACAAGGCCCGCGAGGTCCAGGACCCCAAGCTGGCAAAGATGAGAAATCTGGTCAAGCGCAACAGCCCAAGGTTGCAGAGGCAGACGGTGCGTCGGCCAAACCAAAGAACGGTGCAAAGGGTTCTGGCGCTACTCCCACACCCGCTGGTGCGAAACAAGCTCCGCCACCGCCAATCGATTCTAAGCCTGATGTATCGGCTGCTTTGGCACCACCCCATCCTCAGAACACTCAGCAGTCGGCCCCAGGAAAGGGTGCGCCCAGTGGACCAAAAGGAGGGCGGATTATTCCTGCTGTTCCCATTCCAAGCCCGAGGGCTAGCAAGACGGCACCTCACGGGCACCAACAGGCCGCTGCCGCTGTTGCCACTGTTCAAGTCCCTAGTGCTGCCCAACAACAGAATGCTACGCAGTTGGCGACTGCCGCTGTGGCTGAGGCCATGGCAAAGCTCAACATTCAGAACAAGGGTCAAGGTCAGAGCCAGCCTCAAGGCCAAGCACCTGCTTCGGATCCTATGAACAACTTGGCGCAGAAGGTTGAGGGGATGCGTGATCAGAGTCGCCAGCATGCGCCGCGTCAACGGGGTACTGGCGAGTTCCGTGGCAGGGGTGGAAGAGGAGGCCGGGGTGGTCTTCACTCACAACATCCCAAGATGGAGGTCCCTACAACTGACTTTGATTTCGAATCCGCAAACGCCAAATTCAACAAGCAGGATTTGATCAAAGAGGCTATTGCTTCTGGATCGCCCCTTGGTGAAGGCGCGGCTTCCACAGCAGATGCATCTGCCAACAAGGAAGAGGTTGTTATTCCAAGCGGGTCCATGTATGACAAGAGCTCATTCTTTGACAACATCTCGAGCGAACTGAAGGACAGAGAAGAAGCAGCCACACGTGGTCAAGAGTTCCGCAGCCAAGAACGTCAGAAGAACATGGAAACCTTTGGCCAAGGCAGTGTCGATGGCTATCGAGGCCGGGGACGTGGACGCGGGCGCGGGCGTGGTGGTCGCGGCTCCGGCTACCGTGGACGTGGTGCTCCCCGTGGTCGTGGCGGTGCTGATGTCGGTGTTCAGCCTGCTGCTTAGCTGGCGAGCCCCATACTTTCTACTCCACAGTGCAGTCCGGGTTGCTTTGTGTAATTCAGCAAGTGCACTGTGCATTCAGTCTTGTTTAGTTGAGCGATCTGAGCGTGGCGAGTATCTTCTCTTTTTTGCTCTCAGCCCTATGGGCTCTGCTTCTGGTCGACTGGAGCGGCGTACTTTTCTCCGCATGTATTTGTATATCTAGGGTTGCGATATGGAACCGGGACCAAAAGCCGGGCGGCTTGGATGGTGTGGCAAGCGTGAGGGTATATGTGATACGATTGCGAATAATGATCATGAGTATCTGTCCAATGCATGTTATCCCTGATCCCTCTGTGTTGTTGAGTACTCATTCTTTGGTACTGCTCTTATTTGTGGTATACGTTCCCCATCTTTCTTGCGTATCTTGATGAGAATAATCAAAGTTCTCTCCAGTGCACTACGGTGTTGCCAAATATCTCTAGTCAGCTCTGTCGCCTAAATCAACTGCTGCTGCAGCCCATGGAAGCACTTGCCCCGCGATTGGCATTCACCAGCCAAACAGGCTAGTCTCTGCACTGCCTCCCTAACTTCAGCTAGTTTAACCGCCAAGCAGCCTTAAGGGGGACCGGAGGCCCTTCATCTACCGTCACTCACACCGGTCCTCGATATCAACCTTTGATCTCTCCTCTTTTGGATCACATATCATTGCATCTACGATGCGTCTCTTGGAGATTCAAAGTGACGGTAATTTCAGCCTCGTCGGACCTCAACGTAGTGATATTTCGCCCTACGCCATTCTTTCACACACTTGGGGTGCAGAAGATGATGAAGTCACATATCAGGACCTGTACAATGGCACTGGAAAAGAGAAATATGGATATAACAAACTCACCTTTTGCAAGGAACAAACTACAAAAGACGGCCTTTGCCATTTCTGGATCGATACCTGTTGCATCAACAAGTACAATGATCCAGAGCTTTCGGAAGCAATCAGGTGCATGTTCAAGTGGTACCGTAACGCATCGAAATGCTACGTTTACCTCTCCGATGTGTCTAGTACAGATTGTGACTCGGAAAGCGTGGCGTTCTCGGAAAGCAAATGGTTTACCCGAGGTTGGACGTTGCAAGAGCTTCTTGCTCCATCATGCGTCCAGTTCTTCTCAAAAGAAGGAGTTTTACTGGGCGACAAGCATTCACTCGCCAAGGAGATCTCCAGAATAACAAAGATACCGGTCGAAGCTCTTCAAGGGTATGATCTCTCCAAATTCACTGTAGAGGAGCGTATGCGATGGGCTGAAGAACGAAAGACAACGCGTGAAGAAGATCAGGTCTACTCGTTGTTGGGCATTTTTAATATCCACATGTCGATCCTGTATGGCGAAGGCGAAAGTAGTGCACGGGACCGACTGAACAAAAAAATAAAAGCCAGCGAGGCGGCTAGAGATGAGAAAGTGAGCAAGACGAAGGAATGGTTATCAGCACCAGACACTTCAATCAATTACCTGGAAGCACTTAAGCAGCGACAGCATAACACCGGTCAGTGGCTGCTCGATGGAGCGCGTTATGAGACTTGGAAACTGGAGAGTGCGTCATGCATATGGCTATATGGTATTCCAGGTTGCGGCAAAACTATCTTGATTTCTACTATCCTGGAAGACATCTTTCTGTATTGCGACAAGCATCTTGGATATGCTCTTGCCTTCTTCTACTTCGATTTCAACGACATACAAAAACAAGATGCCGAGCGGATGTTACGATCGGTGGTCGTTCAACTTTTAGAAGAGTCTGCTGAAATACCTTTGAGTCTCGACGCCCTGTTTTCTTCGCATAATAATGGGAAACGACCCCCAGCTTTCAATAGCCTGCTGGAGGTAGCACGCGATCTGATAGTGCAGTTTCCACAAGTCTACATCGTTCTGGATGCATTAGATGAGTGTACTCAATGGTCTGAGTTGATGAAAATGCTTGAGACTATAGCTAGCTGGAAGCTTCCGAATCTGCATCTCATCATGACAAGTCGGGAGGAGCCAGATATCAAGAGCGCTTTGACTGACCTTGTGGATTCGCAGAATAGTATCTGCATTCAGAGTGACTTAGTCGATAGAGATATACAGCTGTATATCCGCCAGCGACTTTCTAACGATAAGAGCTTGGTTAAGTGGAAAAAGGACCCCGCTCTGCAGCAAGAGATTGAGATAGCCCTCATGGAGGGTTCCAGAGGAATGTACGATTAATTCAAATCCTTTGTGTTTTCCGGACTGATTGTCCTTTAGGTTTCGGTGGGCTGCATGCCAGCTGGACACGCTCGGGAAGTGTCTGAATCGATCAAAGTTGCGGAAAGCACTCGAAACACTACCATCCACCTTGGACAAGACCTACGAACGCGTATTGGAGAGCGTCAGCGATGAATATGCTGAATATGCTATCCGCATTCTTCAGTGGCTAGCTTTCTCAGAGCGCCCACTAACAGTAGAAGAACTCGCAGAAGTGATCGCAATTGACATTTCACGCAACCCAGAATTTGACCGAGACGAAGTGCTAGAAAACCCCTTCGACGTACTGAGAATCTGCTCCAGCCTGATCACTATCACAGACCACCGATGCTATTCAGCTAGGTCAGTAGTTGTGCTCGCGCATTACTCTGTCAAAGAATATCTCATCTCAGACAGAATAAAGCGAGGCCATGTAGCTCTTTATAGCTTACAGGCTACGGCGTGCCAAGGCACTATGGCTGCGGCGTGTCTAGGTTACCTTAACCAGTTTCAGAAGCCTGAGCTTGTAACAAAACAATCCTTGGAGGGATTCAAGCTGGCAAGATATTGTGCGGAGTTCTGGAGTAGACATGCTAAAAAGGCAGAAGATCAAGAAGCAGAAGTCGGCAAATTAGCTTGCCGACTATTGTCTATAACTAATCCTGCATACTTCTCTTGGATGCAAATATGCCACCCGGATGATGGAACATATTTTGTTGGCCACAAAGAATCGGTAAAAGATATACCCCCTCTATACTGCGCATCGATACTCGGTCTCGAAAACGTCGTAAGCCTCCTCCTTTCCGAGGATGCAGACCCTAACGTGCGAAGAGGAATATGCGATACTCCACTCCAAGTAGCTTCGGCCAAAGGTCATGAGGGTGTTGTCAAACTACTACTTAATGCCGGCGCCGAGGTCAACGCAAAGGGTTATCGATATAGTAACGCACTTGTTGCTGCCTTGGAATCTGGGAATGAGTGCATTGCTAAAATATTGCTCGAAGCAGGCGCCAACGTTGGTCCAGATGATCAATACAAAGGCGCCTTGCATCATGCTATTCAAGGGCCAAGATGTACCCCTTCACTGGTCAGCATTTTGCTGAGATTTGGTGCACCAGTGAGCGCAGTTGATGCGGACAACATGACCCCTCTGCACTATTGTGCCAAACATGGTCTCGATACTATAGCTACACAACTTATCAACGCCAAAGCATCGATTGATGCAAGAGCTCGTCGCAGGAGACTTGGGGTCTCGACCATCGAATCACCTAACCTGGGAGGTGCAGGACTTATTTCTACAGTCTCGGAAATAGGCCTGACTCCTCTCCATTTCGCGGTCATGAATCTGAACGTCAAAATGACCAAAATTTTGCTCGAGCATGGTGCCGACCCCAATGCGCTTTCTGATGACCATGAAACACCTCTGCATCTGATACTACGTTGTGCTCAGCTTGCTCATTATACAATAAGAGATATCCAGAAGGAAAAAATCTCCAAAGGACACGTTACGTCCGGCTTTGCGAGGGTTGAAAAGGACGGGATGAACACTTCACCAAGAAAGGGGACTGATATGCGCGAAGAAATATTGAATCTTTTACTTGAGAATCCTAGGACATCTCTGAATGTAAAGGACTACCAAGGACGAAGTCCATTACACTGTATTGAGTATAGCTGGGCGAAGAGCGCCGCTGAGGTACAAACCCTCCTGGCGTCCGGAGCTGACCCAAACTGTTGCAACCTACGAAAACAAACTCCGCTACACCTTGCCAGTAAAGCTGGAAATCATGCATCGGTCAAACTCCTACTCGAGTATAGTGCGAATGTAGAACTGACGGATGACTCGGGCCTTAACGCACTTCACTATGCAGCTCAACTCGGGGACGACGAAACCATGATTGCTATTCTTAAAGTAAAATGGGACAAAGCATTGGAACTTGTACTATCCAGAGACAAAATTGGAAGAAACGTGCTCCATCATCTCTTCATCCAAGGGAACTGGATTAGAGTCAGCATGCTACGTTTTCTGCTTAGCCAAGGGGCCGATAGTGTAGCAGTTGATGATTCTGGATGTACCCCGTTGGTAACTTGCCTCCAAAGTCCTTTCTACACCAACCCCGAAATCTGCGAGCTGCTATTGAAGGTTGAGGGCAACGCGACCTTTTCGGACAGCAAGGGCCGGCACCTTGGACACCTATACATCCAAAAGCTCAACGCTAACGTTCAAACGCTCCGGCTCCTGCACGACAGCGGTGTCGATTTGACAAAGAAGGATCACGGTGGGAAGACAATACTTCATACCGCCGCCATAGAAGGCTCCCTGACTGACAAATTGCTCGAGTATCTTGTCGATGTTGTTGGCCTTGGAATAGCCGACCAAGACATGCATGGCCGAGATGCTTTACAGTATGCCACCGAGAGATATGAGAGGATAGAAGAGGAAGGAGAAGACATGGAACTACTTGTGCGATATGGTATGGGAGGTATCAGCGACGCTGTTCACAAAAATGCCCGTCTAGCAGTCATACGTCGCATGACTGACCTCATGGAACTCGGCACGAAGCAGGAATAGCAATCACATTTTCTTTTGTTACAGTCAAGACGGCCTTTTGCCGAGATGCCATCGAGTCATGGTATGTATAATACACACACAAATATACATATATACCCTTGAACTGAGTTTGTAAGCAACAAAATACCCAGGTTATCAGGATTTTTTTTCCCCCCAAAGCTCTAGCAACACCTTTTATATTCTCTTGACTAAACTACGTGCACGAATAACATTACTTCTTCACCTTTACATGCAAAATTATAAGAGTTCTAAGCTAAACTACATACTTGCGGAATTGACTTCAATACAACACTCACTACACATGTTCAAGTCATCAACACACATTTGCCTCAATTTCTCATCAAGGAACCGGGCTGTTCGTATAAGGGGAGAGAAAAAAAAAGAATTCATACATGGATGTACCAAGCAAAAAAAAAAAAAAGGATTTGACTCCTCGAGTCAAAGATATGGATATTGTTGAGGTCAGCAAATAAACTATTTTACTCACGGGCAGAGTATAGAAGAAGTCCGTTTGAATCGGCATGAGTGACTTGTGTGATTTCAAAAGGGTGGGATTTCTTGAATAGCGAGGGTTAGAAGAAAAGTATAGTGTGAATAGTAAGCATGAGAAAAAAGGATGATGCTTAGCTGACGGGATATGTGTGTAAGTGTGCTAGTGATGAGATGAGAAAGGGAAAGGGTCTATTTATGAGAATCAATTTCGCAACGAGCATTGGATGTTCTTTTGAAAGAAGAGCACAATCACGAGATGAGAGAACATTAATGGGATTGTATGATTTATTCATTGGTATGTTTATTCTAGGGGTATATGGGCGGTTAGGCTGAATGCGCTTGACGGCGCGAATCAGTAGTAAAGTTATGGTGAGCACTATTTGTGCAATTTGTTGATATCTGGAGAAAGTATCTTTATAGGCAGATGTCGACACAAGCTGTTGTGGGGGGTCACATCAGTTATTTACATGTCTGCAAATCTACTTCTCGATGCTTTACGCCTTACGGAGGGCAAGCTTCTTGCGTGCCTGTATAGTGTAGGCATAGAGAGCATCCTTGAAAGCGAAGAGGAAGGCAGCGGTGATGACACTCTGGGTAACCTTTGGTCCAATGCCTATTCTCATGTTAGCTTCTATCCTTTTCTCATCAAACACCGACAAACACATACCTCCGTAGAGACCAGTATATCCCTCCTCACGGATGATCCTCCTGAAAGTAGTCATCATGTTCTCCCTTGGACCATCCCTGCCTGCAACGTGCATCCTGCTCTTGACTGTAATGTAGGGGTAGGTGATGCTTGTGGCGAGCAACTTGCCGAGAGCACCGAGGTAAAAGGCATCCTTGGGAGTAACGCGCCTCTTCTTCTCCAACAGCTGCTTCAATTGCTCAAACACGGTGTACTGCAAGATGGGGTTGATGACAAGGACCAGAGCGGGCATGACGCCGGCAAAGAGGCGGGCAGGGCCCTCATCACGGATGAGAGCAAACAAGGTGGCGAGAGTGGAAGGTGCCTTGTCAACAGGCGCACCCGGCAGCGATCCCTCTTTGGCCTCAGACTTGCGCGTCGTCATGCGCGTGTTGATGACCCAGATGGGGTTGGTCATGAGGACCGTGGCGCTACCGGCAATGGCGCCAGCGATCATCGACTCAATGGTGGTGAGCTTGGACGAAGCGCGACCGGCCTTGAGGGCGGCCTTTTCGAAAAACGAGCGAGTCCATTCATACCCTAGTGGGGGTCAATACGCAGGTTGGGGTAGCATGGGAAAAGGAGCCGAGGTACAGTAGTAGTAGACAAAGTTTGTGACTGTAATGCCGAAGAGGGCAGAGTCCATGCCGGCGTAGAGTCCGGCGACGCCTTCGCGCTTGATGATGCGGCGGGCGGCATTGAGCGTCGACGACTGGGCGCGCTTCGACTCAACCTGGGCGCGGGTAGAGAGGGTGATGAGGGGATAGCTGTGAGCATGTCTTGTTAGTGGTGCGCATGGCACAGAGATGGTCGAGGGCAGGCATACGTCAGGGCCATGGAGAGCAGACCTCCGCCAGCGCCAGCGAGGGCGTGGGCAACATTGTCGCTCTGCTGGGCCGCCGTGCTCTGGGGCACTGCTGTCGTCGACTCGGCCAGCTTCTCCTGCGCCTTTTCCTGTGCCTGGGACATGGCCAGATGGTGTCGGAGATGGAGATGGGAGATGGGAGATGGGCGCGATGGATGGGCAAGGAGGGAAGGCGCAAGCGGGGTGCGTCGAGTCGAGTGGAAGGCGCAGCCGGAGAGATGGTCGTAGTCGTGATCAAGTAGGGAGCGATGCAGCAGTCAGTAGCGAGACGATGATGCGACGAGAGGCGAGAGGGCGTGGAAAGAAAAGCGGCTTAATTGTCAGATAGAGGCTCCGGGCCATGCACATGGTCTGCGTCTCCGCATTTGGCCTGCGGCTCCAGCTGCTGGCTTGTGAACGTCACCAGCCAAGTTCCCGGGGTAAGTAGTACAACCGAGGCAACACGACCCCCCCGGCCTAAGTCGCTTTCAGCAATCCTCTGCCAACCACCAACCACATGCCATGCCTACGTCTACTCTTCAAACACGCTGCACGCACCAAAAAAATAATCAAGTCTCCGAGCTGCATGGCTGCATGGGCGATCAGCGCCGCCACCCAAGGTTACCCGACCCCAGCCCTGCTCATCTCCTGCATATCCTCTTCTCCCACGTCCTCAAGGGCACGTATAAAAGCGCCGACAGCACCACGGCCACCTCGAGTCCGATGTCGCCCGTAGTCTCCGCAATGGGCCCTGTCCACCAGATCTGGCCCATGCAAGGCACAACAAGTCCAAACGACAACAGGAACGCCCCCAGTGCTGCCAATCCCGCTGGGAGTTTCTGGGCGTCGTCCCATGCGTCTGCATCCTCGGTATAGGCTGCAAAGCTGCCACCTCGGAACTGCACATGTTCAACCAGCACAATGCCAATAAAGGCCGCGCTCCAGTACCCAATGACACCAATGAAGTTCTCGAGGTTGAGGAAGAAGCTCTTGGACGCCTCGACGGCGACGCCAATGACGATGCCCGTGATGATGATGCTGAAGACGATGCGTGGGATGCCGAAGAGCCAGGGCACGAGCATCTGCAGGTTGAGTGTGACGCTGTACATGGTCGCAGACAGGTTGCCCAGCATGCTGAATGCCAGCACAACAGTGACGAACCGTCCAAAGCCTCGTGCTGGGTGCAACATGGCCGCGAGGACACCGCTCGCTGCATTGGCCTCGTAGCCCGCTTGCCACGACGGCACATTGGGCGTCGCGCCGCCCATTGCTGCACCCAGTGTCATGAGGAGAACCGTGGGGAGTGCGAGGCCAATATATGTGTACAATGCGATGCGAGGCCGAGGTGCCTTTGGGTGCATGTATGTGGAGAAGTCGCTGGCCAGTGCGGCCCATGGCAACATGAAGCTGGCCACTAGACCGCCAAACGACAGTACCTGCGATGCAGTCGCGGCAGGCGCAGCAACCTGGTAACTGAGTTTCTGGCCTCCGCACCCTGCAGCAATGACAAGTGCCAGCAGTGCGGGTATCCACGCCCATCGCTCGTAGTGGTGCAGCACGCCAAACCCACAAAAGGATATGACGAGTGACAGCAGGGCAATCACGACGATGCCGACAGTCGCATTGATAGTCGTCCCATCCTGCACCGCCGACAAGGCCATGCCGCCAATGACACTATCAACCACGCAGAAGCCACTCAGCGTCGCGAGGTTGAGCAGTATCAGAAGAGACACAAAGTACTTTCCAAACGAAAATCGCGCTTGGACAAGTTGTCGCATACCGGTCACGGGGCCCCACGTACACATGTACGCTACAGGCACTGTGGAGACGAGCGTGAAGAAGAGGATAACCAGTGCTGCGTCTCGTAAACTGAGGCCAAACGACATGGTCCCCACCATGCCAAACGTGACCCTGTGTCATGATCAGTCGCTAGATCTCGTTGTCATGACCGTGCAACCACTTACGGAAGGGGATTGCAACTCATGCAAAACCATAGTGTGAAGATCTTGGAGTACGCCGTCTCGTCCCTGTCCTCGTAGGCAACTGGTGTGCATCCTCTGATTTCGACATCTCCCTTTTTTTCCAAAAAGTTCAACGCACCCCTCCATCCCCCCAACTTTTCTTGCCTGCCTTGTGTGACATCGTTGCCCACTCCTCCAATCTTGACGAGTGATGACCGTTTGATGTCGTCTTCAGATGGAGCCCTACCCCCGCCATGTTTGCTTTTCCCCAACTCCGGTATATCTGCCATGTCGTTATTCTTTCTTTTTCAACGTCGCCCAACCCACACCTTGGCCGCTTCTACCCGAAAAAAAAAGGATAACGGTAGCCGTGAATTTGTCAGATACTCTCAATACCGAGACTGCAGTTAAAAAAAATCCAATGGTTCGGGGTAGGATGCAAGCCAACGGTACTGGACCCCCACTCCAAGGCGTCCCAAACGATAGAAAAAATCAAAAAAAATAATAGTAGCCCCAGCTGTGTGGAATGCGCGGAGTATGCGAATTCCTATTCCATAAGCCTATGGCATAGTTATGTCTGAGTCAGCCGCTCCACCATACTCGTCGTCAATATGACTCTTCCTCCCCCAAATTTCTTTATCGGTGTGGCGGTACCGCAGCAAAAAAATCTTCTTTTCCCCGGTATTCGCTCTCTCGACCACCAGCAAGGTAACACCGCACTAGGGCCTCGCCTACCCGCCGCCGGAAACGAGCCGACGGACGCCTGGACCAAAAACTACAATTCTAGGCCGGTACAACCGTCTAAGTTATCCGCGGGTCCTTAGCTGCATGCAGCATAGCACTCCGCCTGCTAATCTGGGAAAGATGACGAAAGTGGGCGTTTATACGGTCGGGAGGCACGGGTTTCCTTTAGCGTGGGCGAATTGCAGTCTTGCAGTGTGAAGCACACACACCCACAGTTTAGCTAAATGGCCTGATGGGCTCTTTTTTTTCTGGCTGCTTAGATCCGTTTGCCGATATCTCGCCGGTTGCCTGCTGCGAACAACCCCCCCATCCCCCATTTATCGCTTCACTGGTCGGACAACGGAGACGTTTCTCGCCCAACCACACTGCAACGCGGTCATTGATACGCCGAAGCTGGGGCGTGGTTTGTGGTGGTTAGCGGGGCCCTTTTGTTTGTTCGGGGAAAAGAGACATGGGCACATGTTTTAGGCGGTTTTGATCATGGGGGGGAGCGATCTTGTTAAGAGGGCGCTCGTGGGCTGTCGATCGAGCCTGAGGCTGTCTGCGATTCCCTTTTATCTCCCGAGCTATCCTCCTTGCCTCCATATTATTCTGGAAGTCTTTGCTCTTCTTTTCTTGTTTAGTCCCTTGAAGCTTGTTTTGACGTCAAGTCATGGCTAAAGTGGGTGAGGAAGACAAGCAGGACCCTGCTCCGGTCGACGAGGCTGCACTGGGACCTGTCGAAGGCGAAGTTGAAGTCCCGTATAGTATTTATACTAGCAAGGAGAAATGGATAATTGTTGGCATGGTTGCACTGGCAGGATTCTATAGGTAAGTCTATATGTCGAGGTATCGTGAGTTACTGTTGGTTAACCCTCATCCATTTAGTCCTCTCCCCGCAAACATCTACTTCCCAGCCATCCCCACCCTGGCCAGCGCTTTTGGCAAAACAGTCGATGACCTCAATCAAACCGTCACCGTGTACCTAGTTTTCCAAGGCATCAGCCCTATGCTCTGGGGCCCCATCAGCGACCGCTTCGGCCGCCGTCTCGTCTACCTCGTCTGCCTGGGTATCCTCGTCGCATCCAGCATCGGCCTGGCCCTCTGTCCCACCTCTGAATTTTGGCTCCTCCTCTTCCTCCGCTGCTTCCAATCCGGCGGCAGCGCCAGCACCATCGCCCTGGGCGCTGGCGTCATCGGCGACATCTCGACGAGCAGAGAGCGCGGCGGCTACTTTGGCATGTTCAACCTAGGTCCCATGCTCGCCCCTTGCATCGCGCCCGCCATTGGCGGCGCCCTCTCCCAATCCCTAGGCTGGCGCTCCATCTTCTGGTCCATTGTCATAATGGTCGCCCTCTGCCTCCTCTTCATCGCCCTCTTCCTCCCCGAAACCCTCCGCTCAATCGCAGGCAACGGCTCCATCCCCGTCCCCCGCATCCAACGCGCCATCATCCCCATTGTCGGCCAGAAAGCAACAAAAGAAGCTTTCGACCCGGATACCCGCGCCAAATCAAAACACTCCGTTAACCCTTTTGTCTTGTTCACCTACCCAGACGTCATCGTCCTGCTCACCTTCACCGGTCTAGTCTACGCAGTAAACTACACCATCACCGCCACCATCTCCTCCTCCTTTGCCAAAATCTACCCCCACCTCTCCGAAACCGTCCTCGGACTCTGCTACCTCCCCGTCGGCGCAGGCATGATCATCGGGTCCACGCTCACGGGCAAAATGCTAGACTGGGAGTACGCACGCATCAAAGCGCGGTGCGCCGATAACTTCACCATTGAGCATGCCCGACTGAGAATCATGCCGTTTTACCTCTCGCTGTTCATCGTCTGCGTCGTCGCCTGGGGCTGGACCATTCAAGCTACCGCGCACATTGCCGTGCCCTTGGTCCTGGGCGTGTTGCTCGGCTGGACGTCGATTGGCATCTTGAATACCACCATGACGCTGAATATTGATATTTTGCAATCCAGGAGTTCGGGAGCTACCGCCTGTACGAATCTGGTGCGATGCTCGCTTGCGGCCATTCTCGTCTCGGTGATTGATCGCATGACGAGTCGTTGGGGGGATGGCTGGACGTATACGTTTTGGGGCGGTGTGTGTTGTACGCTTTTGCCGCTTATGCTGCTCGAGATTAAGATGGGGCCCAAGTGGCGCAAGGCGAGGGAGGCCAAGGAGAATGAGAAGGCGTAATGTTTTTTTTGTTTGGAATGTTTTTTTTTGCTTACGAAGCGATTGGATGTGAGTGTGTGGAGTAAAAGTATTATACCCTTTGTTGTTTGTTACTCAGCGTAGCATAGCGAAAGTTATTTTTCTTGTAATGGATTGATATTCTAAAGTCTTAATCTAATGCAAGATAATAATGCAAGAGGAAAAACACTGCATAAGAAACATGGTCTTCGTTACTTCCAATGCCATCAAATCAACATTCCCTGTGTAAACCCTTCCAATGCAGCACGGTACTTCTGACTGTACTCTATAATGATCTGCTGCTGGTACCAAGAATGTCTTGCATTATGATCGGCAACAAGGTTGTGCGCCAGTTCGTGGCAATACGTGCAGAACCAGCTGTCGAGAGCCGTCAACTTCCCCTCTTTAGTGTGGCAGGCGTCAGCATGGAGGGCAATGAACCATGCCAGGTTGAAGAACAAACTGCCGTTCAGATTGAAAGCAACAGTATTCGACTTCTTGTCGAGGAAGATGTTGACGGCGGCCGGGTTGACCGTGAAGAGCGAGGTTAGTCCGAAGATCAGGGGTAGGAAGGCTTGGAGATGACCCTGGAGCTCCGCGGGGGCTGCAGTTTCGTCGCGGCCGTAATAGACATCTACATGACGGCCGGAAAAGGGGACGGAAAATGCCTTGTGCAGGTTTTCCCATTGTTCACCGGTGCAGTAGCCGCCGCGGTCCAGCTCCGTGGCGTCTTGGTGGTGCTTAGTGTTGATGTTGTCCATGCCTGTTGGACGACACTCCTTGATCGCGTTTTGGATGTTAGACTTGGTGGCTTGGATGTCACGGCTGATCTGAGGTCCGTCTGTGCCACTAGACGTAGGGGCAGGTGTGTTCTTGAATCCAAGTTTCTTCGCCCAGTTGTTGATAAGACCTCCATCATCTTGCTGACGTCCGTGATTCGCCACCTCCATACCAGTTTCTGGACTGTCGAATGCCCCGGGAATGCGGTTGCTCTTCTCCGGTGTTGCAGGTGGCATGTTTTCGCGCTCTTCCGTCTTGAGAAGACCAGACTTGGCTTGCTCTGCCAGGCGCTGTTGCTCTTCCTCCTCTCGTTCTTGCTCTGCCTGTCTGGCTATGCGAGCTTCGTGCTCTTTCCTACGTAGAATGCGCTCTACATTAATACCCTTTTGTTGTAAGCGACGAAGCGGCTCAGTCAGGATACGCTCAAGAGCGATTGCGTCGTTTCGCTTTGGTCGCGCTACCAAGAGCCTGACGAGTTCACTCGACACCTCGTAGAGATCGTACTTCGGCGTAATGTTCAGCACATAGCCGACACTGCGAACTTTGATAATTACAGCCGACTTCCTCGACGAGGTAGCGACATTGCGCTCTGCGAGCGAGTATCGAATGGAAATATCAGACACGCACTGAACAGTCAAGTTCGAACCAAGCCATTTAGCATCGTGTCTGATTGCCTTTGAAGAAGCATCGCGTTCATACTCGTGGAGGAAGAGGCGCACACGCTCGAGAATGTCTCGTCGCAGATCCTGTGCTGGTGTCTGGTCGCGCACCACTGTCCCGATACGTTGATCGGTCTTAACAAGATCAGAAACCTTTTGCACACCAAAGCGAGCGTAAAACTCCTCCAAAAGTTCCTCCTGAGGTGCTGCAATGATAAAGTCACGGAATCTCGTCATGTAGTTAACATTGTCGATGATGACAATCTCGTTGGCTTTGTTCAACGACCATTCACGATGCACGTTGTCCTCATCCAGATCGTCCATGTCTTCGTCACCTGCTTCGGCCTTCTTTGTATCTTCCTTGATATCACGGTATCCGAGGAGCAGCCTGGAAGCTACAAGTGCCTTGACCAGCTCCTTGTCTTTCCATAGAGTGCCGGCGTGCTCTGCTAGCTTCCTGAGCAAATCGAGGTATTTATCTTGGCCAATGGTATTGAGGAAGCGAGAGGGGTTCTTCGCGACCAAGTACGCCAAATCATGTGTAGTGGGCTCGTGCTTTGCGCCGACTTTGAGCAAGAAGACCGTCGCTTCAGCACCATAATGAACGTAGTCAAGAATTCCGCGGTACTCTTGATCGCGCCCAACAAAGACATGCTCAGGTGCATCGTAATGATGGATGCGCATCTCTGTCTTTCCAGTCTGATTCTTCGACCGATCTTCGAAACCACTGCAGGTAGGATCAAGGTAATACTTGCGGAATATTGGCACAATGTTCGCAGCCGCCAAATTTTGTATCAGCCCCTTGTATTGGTCCAAATCAGAACCCCGCGACGCCAAGTAAGCAAATTGCATCTCAGCATCTAGCTTGGTTTTGGGCGGAGTTTTGATGAGATACTGTACACAAGGGCCGATACTTGGATCACGATGTACTCCCAGTTTCTCGGCATGACTGCGAAGATCACTTCTGAGTATCGGGAAACCTAGGCACGCTGCATGTTCATTCGTGTAACACTGGAACGGCCCGACCAGTGCTGGAAAAGGCGCTTGCTCGGTCGGCAGAATAGGAAGCGTGAGGGCAGCAAACTTGCTTGCCTCTGAACTGTAATTGTTCTTGTAGTAGTTTGCCAAGAAATAGTCCATGGCGCGTGTGTAGAGCTGCACATCTTTTGCCTGGCCAGCACGGTGGAGTATGTTTGCGATAGTGATGGAGTCTGGCCACTGCTGTAGTCCGAGGTTTAGGAGAAGCAAGCCCTCTCGAGTACCTGACTTGAGCTCGAACGGCAGCTTGATCTGATTCAAGCCCAGTACGAGAATTGCCGGATCTGGAGCGTACAGATCCGAAGCTTTGAACTGCTGACCAGGTTTGACATTCGTACCTTCACCCGGCAAAAACGCTGTCTCGCGTAATCTATCAAGATCCTTTCTCGGAATCTCATCGATGACGGATGCGAAATATCGAATGAGATCAACGTGGTTCCATGAAGGCCGCTCTGATTTCTCACCCTGTTTTCCCTCGCTGCTGCGCATCCGGTCAAAAACCATGGGAAGGTCAATTGTTTTCCGCACCCCAAGTGAGAGAAGGAATTTCTCTTTTGAACCAGCAAATGGCTTCACAGTCGGCAGGTCGTCAAAAAGCTTGACCGTCGGAAAGTACGACTCGGTCGGTCGGCGCATGCCCATCTTTGTAGGCATGATCTGGTGGGGGGTCAAGATCTTGATCACAGTGTCTCTGGATGTCCCATCAAGCTGCTCCCAGCATTTGGAAGTCAGTGTGAGTACTGATAGAGCAAGGTTCTCATCAGTCGTGAATTGCTCCAGCTGTGGCTGTGTAGTCATGTGGCGCAACCACCGTACCATTGACAATTCCGTCCACCCAAACATTTGCAACTGCTTCATGGTCATCCCCCGTGTAAAAGTGAATGGTATCGTGTCAGGAGGAAGTGGCAAGTGTGGACCAATGCGGGCTGGGTTCACGAATGTGCTAATATCCCCCAGTGCAAGAATTCTCCCAGAGTTTTTTTCTGGCTGGACGTCGATGTTGGCGACGGTATTTTCGAATAGACTCCTCGAGCCAGGTATGTCAATTTCGCCGTTTTCCAACTTAGATCCACACCATTTGAGAAACTCGCAAAGCTCTTCTTCATTTAGCGCGCGCGATTCCAAGCCTTGTCGAATGTCCTGCATGGTGAGCTCGGTGATGAAACCGCGATTATGCAGATTCAACATAAAGTCAAATGCGGCATTTGCTAGTTCTTGAGGAACCATAGGCACTTCTCCAAGGAAGCTGAGGGTTTCTGCAGGCATTCGTACTCGTTTGCTTGGCAGAACGCCCTTGGTTGAGAGGATATCAATCGAACGCTCCTTGGAACAGTTGTAGAAAGCTTCGTCAATCTTATCGCCAAGGGCCGTAGAAGGATGGGATGATTTCGCGGTGTATTGACGGAATATATAGGCTGTCTTGGTGACCAGTGTCTCCAAAGACTCCTTGCCAAATTGAGCTTGCAAGGTTGCCATTTCATCTGCGTATGTGATACGGCATGCCAACCCAGCAACACGCAAAAGCTCGATATTCCAGGTGGATATGTACCGAGCGTTCATGTCCACGTTCTCACGCTCTACCGTTGGGATGAGGGATGGCGCAGAGATGTGAGCAAGATATCCTGTTGTTTGTGCCGTGGGAAATCCAATAAATATACGTCCTGACTTTGTTGGAAGAACTTCCGAAAAGATCTTTGTCGCAAGCGAAGCAGAACTTCCTGATCCTGTTGTTAGAGTAGCTGAAGGGTCTTGGTAAGGAGATGTCAAGAGTGCAATCTTCGTAGTCTTAGGTGGAGACTTTTTCGTTGCTCTTTCAATCTCTGCCGCAAAATTTCGTGACACTTTGGTAGCTGCTACAACTGTGCACACTTGCAAGAAAATTGTTCCCTTTGAGTCTCCAGCTATTTCTTCACTTTCACTTGGTTTTTCAGTTGCGGGCTTGATGGTCTTGGTGGATGCTGGTGGTGGGGCCGAAAACTTGGAAAAGAAACTTCGCAAGCTTGAACCAGCGTTGCGCACCTCTTGTTGTACCAGGTCGACTGCTTTCTTGGGTGGTAGCTGAGCAGTAGCAATCACATTCATCCAAGCAGCATCGAGTTGGGAGTGCTGGCGTGTGACGTCAGTCACCTTCATCAGCCCTCCTTCAGTCTCGGTCTTCAAGCCCTGTGGTACGCGAACAATTTCAGGGGAAGAGATCTTCTTCGTAAAGGAAGCAACCACATAATCGTCTACATGGAGTTCAATGCTTTCAAGGCCTACAAACGTAAGACTGGTCGCGAGGAACTGACATAGAGTGGGTAAGTTTGGGAGCTTTGACGGATTATACGAAGGAGAAGCCGGGTTTGCCTGCCGGTATTCGAGCATGAAGATGGTATCTCTTGTAGTATGTTCCGGGGGTACAGGCGCAGCCTTGGTAGACAGCATGTTGCCTTTCCAGTAAAAAGCCATTGTTCTATCGCCAGAGATGACAAACGGCTCATCACAATCTGCGAAGACACTATAGAAACCAACACCAAAAGCACCAATCTTTGTCTCGTCAGGGTTGCCGTCAGCGATACTCTTTAAACGACTCCAATCAGCAACAGTGAATGGCTGGCCGTTGTTACTGACGACAAGCCGCTTGAGCGTGTGGTGCTGGATGATGTGCTTCAATAAAACAGGGTCCGCAGCGCCCTGAGGGGTAGGTACAGTGAGAGAGGGGTCGGTTTCAAATTTGATAATGACCTGATCTGCTTTCGCGTCTGCAGCATTCTGAATCAACTCTCGTAGTGTTGTGTGCTCGCTGGAGTACCGTGCCAGAACCTTGTCGATCAAAGCACGTGTATTGACCGTGACCTCGCTATCGAAACCATCGGCCATGGTCTGGTTGCGCAACCGCGCAAAATCTATCGCAGCCATCTTTACTCTCTCTTTTTTGAACGAACTGGAGAAAATCCCGGGGGTCTGCAAGACTGTGCAAGGTGGATATGGACTGTCAACGAGGCCGGGCTGATTTGCCAGGCAACACAGTAAGACAAGGCTATGTGGCAGTGGCGAAGACACAGTTCGACCGGGAATATGAAGGAACCGTAGTGTGACAAAGTGAAAGAAATCCCGGATACTTCCACGCTATGCAAGGGGTATTAAATAATATGGGAGAGGCGGCAACGCGGCCCCGTGAAGGAGGAAAGGATGTCGGTGAGATGTCTCATCCGCTCTGTCTCTTGATGTTGCAGACACTTGTGCAGGGACCAGTTCCAAAAGTGGCTTAGTGCTGTTAGAGCCACCGCCACGGGGTCAAAGCTTGGAGATCGCCAGCCATGCCACTGTGTCGGACATTCAACGCACCATGCAAGCGTCTGCCATTACGGCTTCACCCCTTGACCAACAGCATCGTTATTGACCAGAAGGTCTGGAAATTTCAGATGTTGAGATGGCAGCCGACCCTCTGTCCCCGATCGCGCCTGCGCGCATTAGGGCCCTACTTCTCCCCGTGGGCCGCATCAGGCGCTCGCGATTCCTAGCTTTTGTCGACCTCTTGCAGCAGGAATCGCTGGTTCGCCTGGGCGACATAAGTCCTGATCCTCGACCTGATCGCAGTATGCGCCCTGGCGGTCCGTATTAGCTACCCTGTTTGCTGATCCTGGCAACGAATAGATATGTTTTCCCCTCTGGCATGGCCGGACGGAACCCTACTGTATGACTTGTCGACATCTATGCCTTCGGCTTCTTACCTATCATTGTCCCCATTTGAGCAGTTCAGGGAGCCGCTGCTTGTGATCGGCTTGGGAGATGCATCCGAGTATGCATGGCTACGTCCGTCACGTGGAACAGATCAAGGTTCAGCAGAGACATTTGAAGATCCTCCAGTTGAAGATGAAAGCACCAATTCAGTTCTTTTTGGAATTGATGATCTTAGAGAGCAGTTTCCCAGGGCATATTTGCATCGTCTAATGATGTTCGATTCTACATCTCAGTCTCGACACCCGCGGTTACCTCCAGAAGCACTTTTGGTTCCCCCGAAATCCCATCTTAAAACGACGACGTTGAAGACTTTGATGTGCGATCTCACTGCGACTCTGCTAGCGGAGATGACAACATTGGCCAAGTCTATTCAAGCTCTTCCTACCTTGACCTCCCCAGCGTCTCAAAATGGCATGGCAGAGGCCACGCCGAATTGGGCTGCGTCGGAATCCACGTCACAGTTTTCCAGAAGAAATTCGCAAGTACCAAGCACAAGTAGACCCGTAACACCTGTAGGAAATGTTCAGAGAGATATGCACCGCGCATCCATGCCCATACTTCCTTCCAGCTCGGGAAGCTCGGTGTCAGGAGAAGACCAGCGGCCTGCTTCAGTGAGCACCCAGGACTCAAGAACTCCTGCAACCACATTTGATGAGATTTCTGGAGTAGGGTCAACTAGCAGCCTTCCACAAAACACAGGCAGTCCTACAAAATCTGCTGCAGTAATAAAGGCCGATCGTGTTTCAATTCATGGGTTTGGATCCGGGGGCGTGAGTGAGAGAGCACGAAACAAGGGGCGTGGCCGCATCAGCATCGTAGTTGGCACATTGTATATGTGCGCTGGGCAATGGGTTGAGGCCATACGAGAGCTCACTGAAGGCGCAACAAGAGCACGCACTCTAAGCGACCATTTATGGCACGCAAAGGCTCTGGAAAACATCATGGTTTGTATGCTGTTATTTGCGTGGTCAGGCATGGACTTTCAGGTCAGTACGGCCTCCGATTGTGTTATCGCGCAAGAGCGCTGACCCGAAAAGATACCTCAAATATGCTACCCAGGGTCTGATAAATCCAACGGTGTTAAGTCACCCCATCACACGCCGACTAACAGCGGCGCGGAGGTCTCAGCGTCAACAAAACAGCAAAATCACGACAACTCGCTCGATGCCCTTAGTTCGCTGCTTCCTGATCTAGTACACATGATCCTAAACCTGTACACGCGGGCGGCTAATTTTGCGGGCGAGTCTCTACCACCGCTTGCATTCTCGGAATGTGTTATACGATTCTCAAAGTTATTGGCTGCTATCAACTTATCCGCGGGGTATCTGGACGATGATTCATTACGCCACATTGTCCAGAATGTCCCTTACAAACAAAAGTCAAGATCGGTCGTTGCCAGAATGAGTGTACACCCTACGCGAAACGATATTGCTTCGATGCTTTTTCGTGCACTACCAGGCCCTATTGAGACATGCGGCATGAACCCCACAGAGCGGGTGGTAATACTAGCTGGAATTGCGTCTGTTTTGTCATCACTAGGGCTACAGCGGAAAAAAGCCATTATCATGAAAGAATTTATCACATCCCTCATACCTGGTCTAATACAGGCCCGGAAGGTGGGAGCAGCTGAAATGGGAGTTCATCCGGCTGCTGGCCTCGCTGCCCTCAACATTGCAAGTAGCAGTGGCCCAGGTGCTGCTGCCCTCAATGTAGGAGAAGGGGAAGTTGAGAACGGGATTGAAGAATTTCTGGGCTTAATAGGCCGGATATACGGGATCCCCAACTCGAAAGGAGCTATACCCGACATGGCCGTGTCTGTTCAAAAAGCTGACAGTGAAGAGGGTACATCAAACAATGTTGCAAGCCAACGTGAAGTTGACACCATTCTTGCTGTGTCGTCCATGCGATCTTTTGGAAGCCTCAGTCTCAAACTAGAAGTTCTCCGAACATGTCTGAGCTTTTGTGAAGCTTTGCCAGACTTTAACGGTGTTCTTCATTTTACTGCCCTGTTGCTGAGGATAGCAGGGCCTGGAACGGCTCCAAAGCCAAATAGCACTGATGTGTACGTGTCTCTCCCGCGGGAGGAGCAAGTACGCTTGTACTCGAATATCTCGAGAACTGTCACTGCGGCCAAGAAGCTTGGCTTTGCGCATGTGGAAACAGAGTACTGGGATGATTTTCTTGTCCGGGGATTGTTCATCCTAGACGAAAGTGAAGCCCTCAAACTGACGCAACGTCAAGGGGAAGAGATAAAGTCTAAAGCCAAAGGGAAGGACGGCCCTTTTCTTCACAACGCTTGGGCTGAGCAGCCTCGAACAGTCGATGCAAACACCACTCTAGTTGCCAACGAGGAGTATCGCTTCGTCATTGCCTTGCAGAATCCTTACGACTTTGAGCTTGGAGTCGAGTCGTTGAGATTTGCTGCCGAAGGTGTCGAGTTTGTGGGAGTGGAAGAACATTTCCTACTTGGTCCGTACCGGACACAGAAGTTCCAGATAACAGGAAAAGCACTTTCGGCCGGTGAACTGAAGATTATCGGCTGTTATGTAAAACTTATTGGATGTCGAGAGCGCCTGTTCCCTATTTTCCCCGAGCCATGGAAACCTAAGAGAGAGCCCAAGATGAAGCGACTGGGACTCAAGGCTTGTCTCGGCACCCCAACCTCAAGGCCTTCATCTACCATTGCTCCTTCTATTGATTGTAGAGCTATTTCGCAACCCAAGCCAGAGTTGCTGACGTTTTCTGTAATACCAGATCAACCCATCCTCGCCATAACTAACGTGTCCCTCCCTCAAGCAGCAGTCATGGTACTAGAGGGTGAGAGGAAGCGATTTAAGGTTACTGTCAAGAATTTGTCTCCAAAGACTGCTGTGGACTTTGTCCATATCTCCTTCCAGGATACAGCAATGGCCGCGATCCACGCAGCCACATCGAACAAAGACCTCCCGCCTGCCGAGCTACATGAACTCGAAGTCCAACTTGCACATTACCCATCATTGCAATGGTGCAAAGAGGAAGACGAAGAATCCCTATGTATCAAACCAGGTGCGGAGATGGACTTTACGATTGAGGTCGTTGGCCGTACCCGACTCACAGACGCAACCATTCAGATCGACTACGCCAATATTGGAAAGCGAAGATCTGAGATTGAAGAACATGTCTTTACTCGCCGGGTCTCTGCTCACATATCCATTACTGTGAATGCAAGTGTGCAACTCCAGCGCCCAGATATTGTGCCTTTATCAGGTGACGTTGGCTGGTCCCAAGGTCTTCCACTAGCCTCAGCAGATAAGTCTGAGCCATCACCACCTGCGGCTTCTGGCAACGCCGACACCCATCTCCGTTCATTCATAAGCTATAAACAAAGCCAAGAAAATGACGACGAATACTGCATGCTTCTCCTTGACCTACGAAACTCGTGGCCAAACCCACTATCCCTCACGCTTGAAGCACGGCGTCCAGACACAGACGACTCACAAGACGACTTAACCGACTCTTGGAAAGATGCCTTCTCCGTCACCGAAGTTATCCAACCCGGCCACGTCAGCCGCATCGTCCTCATCCTCCCCAAAATCTATCTGCGCGCCCCACATGCCGCAGTCCCCTCACTCAACCCGGCCAACCAACGCCAATTCGTCGTCAGCACCAGCAAAATCTCGCCCGAAACCGAACGCGCAAGTAGAGAAGCCTTCTGGTACCGCCAGCAACTCCTCACCATGATCCGCGGCACCTGGGCCGAAACCGGCAACGGCCGCCAGGGCGCCCTCGAACTCCGCGGTATTCGCCTTTCTCAACGCATGGTCGACGCTATCAAACTAGATGATCTGGCGATTTCCATGACGCTGGTTGCGGATCATGAAGACGAAGAGGAAGCACAATCGATCAAGCAACTAGGCCACTCGCACTTCGCAGTTCCAATCGACACATTCGTTACGCTGCGGACTACGCTTCGGAATCGCAGTCCCCACCCTATTTCTCCTTTGCTGCGCTTACAACCGCATCTCGCGAGCCTCCCGCACGCTCTTGCTTTGGATCTCGACAAGCGGCTTTCGTGGTCGGGCGCATTGCAACGCCGACTTGCGCTTTTGCCGCCGGGCGGGAGCACAACGTGTGAGATTGGGCTTGTGGCGCTGTGTAGTGGGATGTACGAAGTTGGTGGATTGGTCGAGGAAGTCGAGGTGTTGGGAGCAGAGGATGGGAAAGAAGGGGAGGGGGAGAAGAGGGGGGAGATGGAGATGGAGAGGTTGTTGCAGGGGGATATACTTGGGGAACGTAAGTTGAGGAGTTGGGGGGTGAGGGAGCCGTGTGGGATTGTTGCCACGAGGGGTACTAAGGAGTAGAGGAGTGAGAAAAGGGTGTGTGTGTAAGTGTGTATGAGTCATGGGTGGAATGTAATAAAGCGAGAAATATTATCATGTTTTTCCCAATGAACATTACTAAAGTCCTTGTATTCTCTTCTTAGTATCCGCATTCGGAACCCATGTCTTGGTTTCTCTTCTACACGAAAGAAAGACAAGCAAAGGAAAAAAAAAACAAGGAGAGTCCATGAACTCAGAGAAATAAGTAAAAAAGACGCCTGTAAATGCAACAAACATTCCGCCTTGGGGACATCGTCACCGCCTGTTACAGGTTACCTAGACGTTTTCTAGGTTGCGTAGAAAAGAAAAGAAATAGAAAAGGGAATGGGAAATCGATCGTTTCCACAAGTACAACGAAGGGTTTAAGAAAAGAGAAGAAACAAGGCCGAAGTTATCGTAGCCTTAATATCTAGTATATCCTCTTCGTAAGAGAACTAATCATAATAATACATATCCCGATGATTCCACAGCTGCTGATTTCCCCAATCCAAGAAAAAGGGTTGCCAAACCTCAATTGTTAGTCAGGGTAGGCGCCCTTCTGAGCTTGTAATCAGGTAAATGATCAAAGTCGTCGGTTTCGGGGTTGTAACGCCAAGCCTTAAACTCGACACCGTAAGGCTTGGGTTCAAGCTGGTAAAGCATACCGAGAGGACAGTCAAGGTCGGCTACGTCTTCACGCTTCAGGCCCTGGAAGTAAGCTAGTAGTACACGGGCGACACTGCGATGCGTTATCAACAAGCAATGGTCCGTCATGCGCTCCAGTTCGACAATGACAGGACGAACGCGGTTGATGACGTCGAGGTAGCCTTCGCCACCTGGGCCTGGATAACGGTACGCAAGCTTGTCGCGTCGCCGTCGGAGGTACTCGTCAGCATACTTGGTACGAATTTCTTCGTATGTGAGACCCTCCATGATGCCTGCATTAAGTTCATCCAGCATGCGCATTTGCTTGACCTCAAAGTCTTCGTCGCAGAAGTACTGCCCAGTCTGAATTGAACGCTTCAGCATGGAAGTCCAGACACAAAAGTTGTGCGTCTCGAGTTCATGGCTGTAGTATGGATTCGGGGGAGTGGTGTCACCCGGGACTGGTGGAAAATGTGAATTGGCCTTTTTGTTTGCTTGCCGAACTGCCCACTCCTTTCGCTGGGCAGCAATGAAGCGTGTCATGGCCTTTGCATACTTTTCTCCGTTGGGGCTTAGATCAGAGTCACCGCCAATCTTGCCAGCAACATTATCCGTCGACTCGCCGTGCCTTGTTATCCAGATCATGCGTGGCGCGAGGTTGAAGTTGAGGAGATAGTAGACAGCCTGGCCGGCAAGGAAACCCCTAATCTGATGTGAAATCATCTTCCGGCCGACATCCACCATCTTGACATAGGGCATGTTGTTGTCTTCCTCGTAGTCGCCAATTGGAACGTAGTTTTTCTCGTAGATGGCTACACGCTTCTTGAAGTCTGCGAGAGCAGCAACGGGGTCCTTATCAGCGTAGTCCGGTCCCGACAGCTTCAAGCGCATATTCGACTCGAGAAGATTCTGGTCGCGGCACACACTCTCGACGAACAAAACATTGAGCTCTGGTCCTGCGCGCGCCCGGATCCGCTCCATAATCTGTTTCCGGCGTGCAAGAGTGCTGTTGGTTGCATCGAATATGCCCACCGATCCACTACCCTTTAGGATGTAGTCCAGCAGATCGTCCAATGTTTCCATGGCGCATTGTTCTCGCAGCGCAGCCGCACGCTGGTTTTGCGGGTCGAAAAAGTCGGCCGACTGGTCCATTGTCTCGTTCTCATTGGTATCAGACTCATTGTTGGGCGTAGGCGGTTTCGGGCCCGGAGATGTGACCTGGACCCGGGGTGGTGGGAGCGCTGTATTATCGTCGTCGTCCGCGATGGCGGTACTACCCCGGCGTGGGTCCGGCACGTTCTGTGGGTCAATGGCCCCATCGTGCGCGGGGTCGCCGTTGATAAGGATTTTTGCGGCAATCTGCGGCAAGGTGTCCTGGTGCTCCTCAATAGCGCGCTTGACATTGGATGAGATGCGCTCAAGGTTCGCTTGGGATAAGCGGAAGCCGCTGTGACTGGCCGCCACTCGCCGCTTCTCTCCTACGTTGAAAATCTTGGTGTCGTGTTGCAGCCAATTCAGGTAGCGGGCCATTTTCTTTGTGATGTAAGACTTACCCCGCGCGGGCAGTCCCACCATGACAATGACTAGCTTGGAGCCGACATCGCGCTGTGCAATCTTGCCGTCAGGGGAGACTTTGGATTTTGTCAAGCCGGGGATGTCGAGCGTTGTCGGGCGTAATCGGGGGGTACCCGCAGCTGAGCTGTTGCGTGTAAGGGTGCTGTTACGGTCAGCGAAGTATGAGGTAGTCTGCACCGGAGCCTCTCCATACTCTCGCGGACTTCCCGGGACCGATGGCAACGGGGTGTCGCTCAAGGCAACGCCCACGCCATTGTTCCCAGAGAGATGTCCATTTTGGTGCTGCTGCTGGACAGGATTGGGAACCGCCTTCAGATGGCCATCTTGGTTTGCGCGCTCCTTGAGCGCCTGCACGTTCTTCGCGGGCGCAACTGCAGGAAACTTGGGTTCGGCCGACACGGGGCGGGGCGTCAGATCGTTGTCAATGGTGGTGTCTGGCTGCTGTGCGTTGTCGAGGGGCAGAGTGAGTTTGCCCATTACAGATCGGGCAAAGGTGGAATGGGAGCTGAAGCGGCGGCGTGGCGGAGAAAAAGGTGGTGAAGAAGAGGCGGAAGTGCGGCGGGGATGGGAATGGTGCTTGTGACGAGCAAGCTCGGTGACCATCGGCGTCCGAAGAGCATCCATGCCTGGCGTCATGCCAAGGCGACGAAGCTGCTATTGTGCACTGCTCTGTCAAGCTACACTCGAGTGAGGGTAGCCTCGCCGCTGCGCTAAGGCCAGTCGCTGGCTGAGGACGAGTTGCAGCAGTGGAGAAGGGAGTGGGTTGAGGTTGGCGAAATATACGTAGTGGTTGCACACAGGCCTCGTGCAACCACGGGCACTCTGGTCAGGTCTTTCTTGTCGCGCGCGTTGTGCAAAGGGTGCAAGCGGGCAGGGACAGGTGACTTTATCAGCAGGACCGGAGGCCGATGCATATATCCATACGTTTGAATTAAGTATGACTGTTCGGAGTCGGACTTTCTGGCTGGTGCTCACAACCATCCACGGTTCCCCGCCAGACCACGTTGCTGCATGGCGCAACGGTCGAGTTTGCGGGGGCGCGCAGGAACAGGTTGGCTATTGCATGACGTACGGTCCTATGGAATGTTTTTTTCCTTCTTCTTCTTCTTCTTCTTTTCTTTGTCTTCTTCCACCCCCCGTACAGGAGAGATTAGGATAAAGGGCAGGCAATCGGTGCACGCGTCCCTTCCCAAGCCACAATGCACCCCGCCTGACGTCGGTGCTGCTGCTGCTTACACCCAGACCCCCACGCTCCGAATCCCGATACCGATAGACAAAAGACGACAGGATAGCATTTGCAATTCGGTTATAACTGATGGCGACCAGCCTACGTGGGTTCCACTTGGAATTTGAATTTGCACGAGTATCTGTCCAATGTCAATCCAAGCATTAGGCACACAGCCCGTCGCCCATCAATGTCCCGACGGTGCAAATATGGTGAATGCCTTGGCATCCAATATGCACGCATGCGTACATACACGATAGGCGCTTCCCCAGATTTCCTGACGTAGTCCTGTGGAGCCCCCGAGATTCATGTCCCTTTTGGTATAGCGTCGTGCTATGATTGATGCATTTGTTCGGAGCAGGACAGAAGTACGGTTCTCTAGTAAAAGAACGGCCCAACCCTCACTTGGCAAGCTTGAGGGTGAGAACCAGTAGACACAGGTATGCTGAAATGCTCAGTGCGGTCAAGGCAACAACAATGTTTCCGCTGGTGCGAAACTTCTTGTGGCATAGACCGTCGGCACCGACTTCGGAGAAGAACTGTCTGTTTCCTGTCGACTATCAGCACCCAAAGTGTATAGGCACATGCACAGTTTCGTCACAACACCCACCTTGCTGACGACGGAACAAACTGGTGAAGAGGATGCCGACTCCATAGACTGCAAACAGCGCGCCAATCGAGTAGAACTCGGCGGTGAAGATCTTGAGCACGACGAGCGCAAACGAGAACTGGCCGATTGCCGTGCGCACATAGGCGCCCTCAAACGTGCGCTGGGCCGCCCGAATCTCGACCAGCTCATCGCTTGTCAGTACAACGGAGCGGGCGCGATGCAGATGCAGTCGGTATCTGTCTGCTGCGTGGCGGCTCTGGTCCACGGTCAGTCACGGCGGTTTGGCAGTCGGCCTGTTTGTCCTCACTTCGAACATGGCCGGTGATGCAGAGCACACAGCACAGGGAAATACGGATTGTGAATATGGATACGACCGCTCCCAGTGTTCGTCCACGGTGGGTGCAGAGGGCAAAGCCGTTGGTGATGGGTGACGTAGCGGGGTTCTAGGCCTGTTCACCGAGGTTACGCTGCGCGGCGCGTCCTGTTAGACTTCCCGACAGGACGCGTTACTACGTCGTTGGCTGATTAGAACAAAGATTTCTGTCCGTCTTTGATGACTCTCGCTAGAGAAGCTTGTTTGCAATGAAATGCAGGTGTTTCTTTTTGCGTGTTGTATCCGGCAGACTGGGTAGCGGCTTGTGATGGAGTGCCCACCACCACCTGTAAAGCTGCTGCTGCAGGGTCCCCGCAGTCCTGGGCTTGTCACTCCCGCAACTGGCAGACACAGCAGTGTGCCGGCATGCCAGTCGCTATTCTTCGTGTCCACAAAAGCGCACTCTACAATTCACTGCGACACTGAGATAGCGCTGCATGCTCCGTCTTGTCGGGTTATCTCTTCTCCGGCGCGTCGCTGCTCTCTCTGCTCACGCCAACGCATGGTAACCCTTCTCTCCCGCCCACGCCGCGGCCTCGATATACATGGCCGTTTGCTGTTGCAATCGCAAGCTAATGTTGGCATCTCAGGAATACCGAAGCCTCTCACTACAGTCTCGCGAGCTCCGTGCGCACAGTTAAGACCCCGACACTGCCCTGCCCTCTCCAGCGCCTGTACTCCACTTGGGAAGATTACCCCGATACCATACTTGCAGAGGAGGGATCAATGGCAGGCAACCCGTCCGCCACATCAGCGACATCGAGTGCGAAGCGCAGAAGCGGCCCCCTCAAGTTCTACGCTGTCAAAGCCGGGAGAGTGCCAGGCGTCTACCAGAACTGGGAGGACGTGCGCCAGCAGACCGAAGGCTTCACCAACCACGAAGGTGTGTAGCGTTGATTTACGTACCGGTCTTGTACTAATACTTAGCTAGTGCAGTCGTTTTCCTCATATACCGACGCAGAAGCATTCGTCAAAGGGACCCTCGTCAAACGACCCAAGCCCTTGAAACCAAAGTTTTACGGAGTAGCAATCGGACGCGTGCCCGGTGTCTACATAGATTGGCCAACTGTAGAGTCGCATACAAAGGGATTCAAAGGTGCAAAACATCAAGGATTTGCCACACGCGAAGAGGCCCAGGCTTTTGTCGATCGAGCTCGAAAAGGTTCCAGTGCGCCCATAAGCTTACAGGGTCACTTATCTGCCGCCTCCTCAGTAGCGGTAAGCAAGATGGAGCCGAGTGCTGAACATGCATCCAAGCGACAGAAACGGGAGCACGCGCCGCCTGCAACCACTTTGGCCAACGGAGATCACAAGACCGAACCAGGCATGGGGCCCCTTCCGCCTGGCGCAGTAGATGGTTTTGACGCGACGATAAAACTGGATGAAACTGCGGGCAACATCAGAGCAAAGACTGCAGACGAACTCAGTGCAACCAAGCGACACCCGACGGGAAATTTCAAGGGCCCATTGGTGGTGCATACAGACGGAGGCTCCAGAGGAAACGGCAAAGTAGGCGCTAGAGCAGGCGTGGGTGTCTACTTTGGCCCCAGAGATCCCAGGTTCGTGTATAGTGGTGCCGCGCAGTACGCAACATCTAACTGTGACTGCAGGAACGTTGGAGAGCCTTTGAGGGGAGAACGACAAACCAACCAGCGAGCTGAGCTTGTCGCCATAGCCCGAGCTCTCGACCATGTGCCAATCGACCGTGATGTTGAAATTCGGACAGATTCATACTACTCTATCCGTTGTCTGCGCGAGTGGTTCCAGAACTGGGAGACCAAGGGTTGGAGAAACGCGGCTGGCAAGAGTGTGGAGAACAAGGAACTCATCCAGCCAATACTTGCGAGGATACGAGAGCGCCTGACTTGCAAAGGCAAGACAACATTTGTCTGGGTCAAAGGACACAGCACTGATATAGGCAATATCGCTGCCGACGCCCTGGCAAACGAGGGTATGGACAAATGGACTCCGGAGCTGACGTCAGGAACGCCATTCGACATGTCGGAAACACTCAGAACGAAGTATACTCTGCCATCACTTACCAAGCCCAAGCAAGAAGATGACGATGATTTTGGCGAGGATCCATTTAAGGATTATTTTGACGGCTTAGAAGCGGAAAGGATGGCGAATGAATTGGTAGATGATGCGGATTCCAGGGCTTCTACTCATTAATGGGTGGGTCGATGCAGCGGAGTATTGAGAGAAAGCTAGTTTGACCACATGAGGCTGGATTGACGATACGTAATGTCGTTTTCTCAAACAACGAGTTGCAGAGGTGGCTATATGCTGTGTCAACTGGAATCTAGAGCCTAGGAGGGGCCATGATATATGATAGTTGTAAATAACAGAACAAATACAATGAACATTACTGGTGTAGATGCCAGTCTCCCATCTTCGTTAAAACTAAAAAGTACTTTAGACCCAGGCCAGGAATTTGGCGCCATGGACAAAACTCCAGTGTCGAATGCTATCCCAAAACTGCTATCAAAGACCTCGAGCACCAGGTCAACGGCAACAAATCGCATTACTTTCTGCATACATCAGTAAAGTACTTACTAAATCTCTATCACACGCATACGAACTTTAAGTACCCTGCACCAATCATGAGAAAGAATCATCATGCAAAGTTTCACCAACACACCGCCTGACATTGTTGTAATTGCATTGCACTGTCAAACTTTCCAAAGTCGTCGCAAAGCATCGTTAGTCGCAAATCAGATCATGTTTGCAACCGTTGCGTTATCACCGCGTAAGCACCGAGTACCACTCTCTGAGCACACCCTCGATACCGTGACCCTCTACCAGTGGGAACCAAGTCGGCAATCTTCTACATTGAGCTATGCCCAGATGAGACGCTGATTGCAGCGTATCTTTTTGCATTCCAAACACTGTAAATGCCAATGGCAGCTGGAACGTTTGAATACCACACCATTGCCGATATGAGCTTCTGAGCACATTTGTAGTGATCAGCTATTTCAACTATGTATACCGCTTTATATCAAGTAGCTTAAACCCCACTGTACAAGATCGTGGCTTATCATATGTCAGTGGACGTCCCCCTAGTGCCTTGGTAGTAAGCCATGTCGCCCGCCCCACTGGATGCATGCAAGCATACCCCGTCCCTCGAATCGAGCGTTTATGTAACATATATTGTATTACATATCTATCCCATCTCACACATTCCTGCAAAAAGCCTCCCTTTACACACACGCAGACCGGCGCTCCCTTACCCAGACTGCGCAAACCGTTTCACCCCGCCCACTCGGTACCCGGGGGCCATCCAACCCAGCATACCAAAACTCACCCACCACACCCACCGGATCCCGCATCTCACGACCTTGGTTCAACACGCCCAACCTGAATTAAACCCGCCAGAAAAAAAACCCCACCTACACAAAAGAGAATGCCCCATCTCCTCCCTCCACAAAGCTATGCCTTCCTCCCACGCTTCCACCACCACCACCGTCGCCGCCGCCAACCCTCCACACCCACAACCTCCATCCCACCACCGCCCCAAATGTCCCTCATAACCCACACCCTCACCTACGCCCTCGCCCTCATAACCCTCTCCACCCTCGCCCTCACCATCCTCTCCCTCTCAACCTTCTACACCACACTCTTCACCAGCACCGGCGGCCAGCAACTCCACATGCTCTTCCACGCGAGCGTCGTCGGCGCCACGGTCCTCATGGCCACGCTGGTCGCAGACGATGTCGCCGCCAAGGTGCTGGGACTGCACGGGATACGGTATCAGAGTGGGACGGCGGCGGATGCGATGTTGATGGCGTTGTTTTGGGTGAATGTGGGCGTTGGGGGTGGGGTTTGGGCAGTGTTGCTTGTGAAGGAGTGGGTTGAGAAGGGGTTTTGGTGTTCGGTTCTTGGGGTTTGAAAATGGCTTTGTTCATTTATGGGATTTGGGGTATGTGGGATAAGGCGTTTTTGGGGAATGGGGCGTGATGCGGAGTTTTTGGGTTATTGGAGAAGAAGAGATGGACGTGGGCGCACGAGTAATTGGCATTATGGCCTTCTCATACCCATCTGGTTGGCGTGATGCATCGGTATGAGATGCAGATTCGGTTCAGAAGACTTTGGAAGCCGTGCTTTTGGCAATGGGATTCAGATGTTCAGCCTGACCAGGACTATTGTTGTTCCTTGCAAACGGCAGTCTAGACATTCTACGCAAAACGCGTCAGCCGAAAGAATATCTAGGAGTGAAGCTATACATGATAACTCCACCTAAAACTAGTAATAAGAACATTTGATCAAAACTACATTTGCCCTATTAGGGATGGAACGAATGTGACGCTTCTAGATTAGTGTTAGCAAAAACATATGCATTGTACCTTGCAGATCAAGTGCAGCGCGCATACCCCCGTACCGACCCGAAAAGCTCCCCGCACCCCACACTCTGCTCCACTTCCACCACAGAACAAAAAAGCAAAAAAGAAATTCACAAATTTATTGCCAGCAGCCGGAATTGAACCAGCGATCTTCGCATTGCCCGGTGTTTTGTGGTACAAGTGCGACGCCTTACCACTTGGCCATACCGGCGATCGTGCTGAATTTTTGAAAATTTGGAAAGTTATTAAATATAAGACCACGGACGTTATCTGCTAATCCATAGCAAAGTACAGGTCCGATTGCATATCGTAGGAAATCACGCACACACGACCTTCGGATACATCAATTCGATTACTACGTGCTAACCCTAGCCACATTATCTACCACAAACCTCCGCCACTCTTCATCACCCAACACACTTCTCACCCGCGCCTCCAACCACTCTGTGTTACCCCAGAACCCCCAACTCGCCTGGAACCGCAACCAATCCACTAGCGCTATCTCCCAATGTCTCACAAAAATAGCCCAGTCGTATTCTCGACCACCCGTCTCGCACAGCTTCTCCCAGTACCGACGCAAAAGCTGCTCTTCGCCTTCCTGCATCGCCAGCTCCTGCGGTACGTGTTCGTCGGCGACGAGCATAGCGAGCGGGACGGAGCAAGTAAAGTATTTTGCGAGATCGCAGACGCCGAGACCGAGACCTGTGTACTGGAAGTCATAGAATGCGACTTGGTCTCCTGGTGCGCTGGTGAAGAGGTTTTCGGATTTGACGTCGCCGTGGATGAGGGTCTGATATTGGCTTATTGATGGGTTTTCTGGTGTTTTGGGCGCGAGGAAGAGGGCTGCCATTTCGGCTATGGAGAGGTCTTCGTCGTTTATGCGGCGGGTGAGCGGGACGCCCCATTCGGAGTGGTGGTCCATGGCTAGAGAGGTGTATTCTTTTCGGCGTGTTGTGAGGTATGTGTAGCCGCCATTGAGCCAGACGCTTCTTTCTTCGGTGTTTTGGTCGTTGCGCTGGACTTCCTCGAGTGGAGGTAGGACAAGCGATGAGGGCGTGAGGTTTTGCACGCGCGACCACCAGAAGCCGTGGAAGCCGGAGAGCCAGTCCAATGCAGCAAAGACTTGGGTTTGCGAAAGCACTGCGCGTTTCTCGCCTGCAATAGGATACTGCTGTTTGAGATCACTTAGCAGCATGGCTGTTATAGAAGTACCGTCCTCATTCAGCTTGTTGATGCTCGCTACGCATTTGGCAACAGGAAGTGAATCTGGCATCTGAGGCGCCAGGTGGGTGTAGAAGTACTGCTCTACTCTGTAACTCAAAATCTTCCTCGTATGTCCCTCATCATCTGCTTTTGTCGGAGGAGGCGTAACAAGTTTGAGAACAAAAGATTGGTGTTCCGTGGAAGAGGCAGTCGATGCAGGATCCGGAACAATATTAACTCGGCATATCTCGCCATACCCGGCCCATAATGACTGAATACGTTCGAGAGACTCGACTTCTAACCCTTTTTCAGCGAGAAGGGTAGTCGCTACTTCCTGTGCTGATGGTTGTGCCGGCATTGCATGTGTAGGAAGCTGTACGGGGGTATAGAGAAAGTTGTACAAAAAGATTGCGATGCAAGGTACAAGAAAGTAGAAGAGAAATTGCGGTGAAGGTATGGTCATTCGACGAACGAGCCTGACGAAGGAGATTCTCTGTGAGAAAAAGGAATGACAATGAGGTCGAACGCGACTACATACAGAGAGATCAAAGAACTGCAGTATTAAGGATGATGTTGATAGAAGGTGATTAGCTTCGCATGTGAACAGCGGTATTCGCTGTTTCTGGCTACAGAGCTGACATAAGCATAAGCTGCTGTCCCCACATATTCCAGCGTGGCATCCGTCTCTCCATCAGCACTAAAATTCTATTCATGGCATTGCAAGAAAGTCATTTTTCGTTCAAGAAAAACAGAATATATACATAAGCCTGCAGTTTTGATTATAGCAAGTACTGAAAGTAGATGTTCTCCCTGTCCGTCATGTCCTGGAGACCGTTCTCGCCGTGCACATCAGCGTCAGTCGCTTGCTGGTGTCCGCTCATGGAATAATCCACGGGATTCCGCGGAAGACCAGCTGCCTCGCGATCGTCACACTTCTTCTTCTGCATCCACGTGATGACAAAAATCTGCAGAATTACGACGCCCCAGAGGACGCACCAGATTGCAAGAATACCTTTGAGAGCGTTGTGCTAGATCATTGTTAATAAAATGCCACCCGTATGTATGACATAAGGCTAACTTACGTATTGTGGAGCAAACTTTTTATCAAAAATGTATGGGGTGATGATGTTACCAATGGCGTTTCCAGCGTTGAAAGAAGTATAATAGACGGCCTTTTTGGTTTGTCCAGCACAGTTTGCTCCCATCCAGGAAATGAGCAAAGGATTGATGGCAAAAACAAATGCAATCAAATAGTAGCCAGCAAGAAGTCCTCCTTTGTTCTTCTTCTCTTTGGGAAGAGCAACAAGTAGAGAGACGCCGACAATGACGATAGTAACAAGGATAAGCAGGAATGGAGACTTGCGCTTGAAACGGTATGCCAGCCATGACGCAAGAAGAATAGAGATGAACTGAAGTGCTCCAAACGGCATGTTGAGCAGAACAGCTTCGTCGGGCGTGAAACCAGCCAGGTTTTGGAGAATAATGGCGCCAAAGACGGATGAGACGGCAGCACCAGCGTTGACGGAAATGACCATGATCATGTATAGCCAGTACTTGGGCTCCGTCCAAGCCTCAAAGACGTGAGACCAGTTGAACTTATGCGAGATAATACCCTGTTGGTTTGCCTTGAGTCGTTCGATAGCCTTCAGGCGGTCTTCGGGCGAGAGGAAACGGGCTTCTCCAGGGCTGTCATGAGCCCACCAGTAAGTGGTCAAGCCAATGTAAATAGTCAACAGTCCGAAGAAGAGATAGACGATCTGATAGCGATACAGATGATGAGAATGGATCCGACCAAACCCATAGACAATAGGAGCACTGATCAGCGTGCTCAGCCCATAACAGCTATACCAGCATGCAACCCGGAAAGGCTGCTCGGAACGCCTGTAAAAGGCGATTGTGATCATCGAGAAGAGAGGAACGACCGCCGCTTCGAATGCGCCAAGGAAGAAACGAGATGCCATGAGTCCACCATAGTTCTTTGATGCTGCAAGACCACCAGCGACTGAGATGCCCCAGCATACAATGATGACTGGCAATACATGTCGGTATCGAAGCTTGACCAGGATCCATGCTGCCAAAGGTTGCACACCAAGTTGTGCATAGTAACCAATGTTACCAATGTTGGAGTAATCGTTTCCCTTGAGATGCGCGTCGGTCTTCAGTCCATAAACAGCTGTCAAACCAATAATTCCTTTGTCGGCGGACTGGAGGAAGTAAACCATGCAAAGGAGAGACAACATCCGGATATCTGTCTTCCGCAGGATGCGCTTGTTGTCTTCATCGGTGCAGATAACAGTTTCCCCAGATAGTTGGGCCTTGCCTTCCTCGTAAGCAACGATGCCGTCTACGGAAACTTTGGAGGTATGGTCGGCAGCCTCTGACTTCTCGATAGCGGAAGCCATGGCGCTAGAACGATTCCTATAAAGAAGCGAAGAAGTAAAATAAGGTGGAGATGGGGTTAATCTGGGGTTATCGGTGTGGGGTAGTCGATTTATGTCTATCGACTTACCAGCACAGACCTTACTGACACGGAGAAACGGCGATACGGACAGAAGTTTTCCCTCCAACAAGTCAGTAGGCTAGGCTCAAGGGCTATTAAGGTTGTCGGATTCGCTAGGGGTAGGGATACGGCACTAGCAACATGGCCAATGATGGCGCTATCAGATACCAACATGGACCGGCTAAATCAATATGGACTGGATGTATTCGTGATCCGTGAGGAATCTGCAGCGGATGAGGCCGGATCTCTAAGAAACGAGAACGGGCTTGCTCATTGATGAGACGGAGATGATAGTGTCAGTGCTACGTGCAATGGACGCATGGTGTAAGCGGCCAGGACGATAGCAGGCTATGGAGTGGTGACCGGCAAGTGGACAAAGAGTTCACGACGGTGGCTTATGAGCAGGTACAATCTGACAAGTGAGATGATTCGTGCTGCCTGCCGACCCGTTCGGTCGCACTAACAATTGTTACCGAAGACGTGATTACTGTTTACCCGCTGCGAGTATTACTAACTGTCTATTAATACTGTGGTACCCACAGTTCGCGTGGTTAAGTCATTAACTTAAACCAACGTCCAACATGTTGATGTCAAAAACAAGACGGCGATACACATACAAGATTCTCTTGACTGCAATAAGCTTTTCGCCAAGGGTGCACACGGGATCAGCTGAACACGCGTGGCTGGAGCAATTAACCGGCCGTGCCGCTTACGCCACCAATCTCTAGTAATTCTCCGCTGCAATGACAAAAGTCATCTCACAATCCCGAACCTATGGTCAGCATGGGCAGCAATGGCATGTTGAAGCCAAAGAACATAGATCTGGAACTGGAGGAGCAGTAAGAGATGTTTTTCGATGACTTTCTCATGACGAGAAGAGTGGGTTTCCAATAGCCGATGGATGCGGACGGCACAGAAGCCTCGGCGCAAACCTGCCCAGCGCAGAAATAATGCGGGGTAAACATCGGAACGTACGGAGTCGTGGCAGGTACGTCTGTATATCATGAAGAGAGCCTTCGTGCTACAGACTTGAGAAATTTGAATATTGACCAAAAGACTGTTGGTGCGTCAGCAAACACGATGGATCCCAAGAACACCGCGAACCGGCGCCTGACGCAGATCAAAGATTCATTAACGATGGAAAAAACCGCCACGAGCATTCCGTGGGATCCGAACAGCACCAAGTTTCCCACCCGAAAGCAACTTCCAGGGATACCTGGCGCTCCTAAAGGAGCCGCTTGGGTCTGGGGCGACAACGACTACGTATAGTAGCTTCTACCATTAGTACAGCATCATCACGCTAATCAGTGGCAGATTGGACGCTTAAACCTTCTTACACCAACCCGAGTAGCAGCAGCAGCTAAAGAGATCAAGTCTGGAGAGATAGTGCCCGTAAAGTAAAGACTACCCAGAACGCCCTACTGGATCCACATTGATGAAAACAGCCTACCTCTTAACGTCCCCAATGTACCATCATTCAGCCGTGAACCCTTCAAGCACGAAGTCAAGACTGTAATCGAAGGAATTGTCTATGATGACATGTACCACCTGAACACTCAAAGTGGCACACAATGGGACGGCTTTCGGCATTTCGCCCACATAGCAAGCGGTAACTTTTACAATGGCGTCCGTTCTCTAATTTCCTCTTCCCATCCGTACCCAACTAACTATCACCTTAGACAAAAGGTAGCGACATCGCTGGCCCTAGCGCCAACCACAAATGTTCGATCCACCACTGGGCTAACCACGGCATTGCCGGCCGCGGCGTCCTCCTCGACTACCGAAGCTACGCCAACAAAAAAGGAATCGCATACGACCCCTACGAATACCACCCCATCTCCTTCGACGAACTTTACCAATGCGGAAAAGACCAAGGTATCGACATCCGACCCGTAGCCCAAGGCGGCGACATCAAGCCCGGAGACATGCTGTTCGTCCGGAGCGGCTGGAAAGAAGCATACGACGGTAAAAGTGATGAAGAGCGCGCTAAAGCTGCGGTACCTCATGACGCCGGGAAAGGAGGGGCGGATGGACATCGGTTTGCGGGGGTGAGCCAAGAGGAGAAGATTCTAGACTGGCTGCATGATTGCTACTTTGCGGCTGTTGCAGGGGATTCGCCGACTTTTGAGGCGTGGCCTACGCATGAAGGTATGGTTGAGATCTACACACTTCTTGGCTACTTAGGCCGAGGGGTGGTCTTTTTGTATATCAGGAGCTAACGCGGGTGCAGAGTACTATCTTCATGAGCACATACTCGCGCTTTGGGGTATGCCACTGGGCGAGATGCTGGATTTGGAGAAGTTGGCGCAGACGTGTCGGGAGAAGGGGAGATGGTTCTTCTTCTTTTCTTCAGCGCCCGCAAACTGTCCTGGTATGTTGTGTTCCGCATCGTTTTGATTGCTTCTTCTTATTAACCATTCTACAGGTGGAGTCAGCTCTCATGTCAATGGTACCGCGATCTTTTGAAGAAAGGAAATTCAGGTATCAACTATGTACTACCTGCGTATGAGCTCGGACACGAAAGCATCAGGAGTGAGATAGAATGTTATCGTCGAGGAAAGTGACTATGTTACGTCGAAAAGAGGCATTTTGTAGCTCTTGAAAGCACTCTTCACCTCAAAAAGTGCAAACGGTGAATTGAGAGATAGTTCTCGCTTTAGCAAAGCAAGTTGGCTTCTAATTTATGGTGTTATCATCGCCCTATCCCAACATTTGCGCTAATGTTCCAATCTGCTGGCTCGTTTCTGTGCCTATTCTTAGCCCGCCTACCAGGATAGACAGACAAGGAAGATTCGAGCGCGCTGCTTGAAGCAGCTTAGCTGCAATCTATTGGCGGCTAAGCTTCAGAGCTTATTTGGCGTATGACTGCTCTTCGGGACGGGTCGAGAGGAGCGCTGCGATTGGACAGTCATATATCTTGATCACGCGCATGCACTACATATTGTTGTACTTTGGATTTCACATACTGAAGCGGCATTGTAAGTAATGCTAACTTCCTCCTGTACATCTATCATACTCTTCGCCTTAAACTTGCGTAAAAGTCGTAACTGTAGTGGCTTACCGTGCCTTGACGTACACCTCATATCACGATATCCAGACGCAATTAGCCCCCTGCTTCTTCTTTCAAAAACTCCATATACCCCAGCAGTGCCGTATCCGTAGTTACCACATCTACCCTCTCACAGCAATACACCAACCAAGCATTAACCGATGCTACCCCAATCCGCGGTAAATGTGAAATCTCCGATTGGGGACAATTAGCTTTCGAGCGCAATCGGCCCTGTTGTGGTGGATCTTCGACGTATGCTTGTGCTAGCTTGATTAATTGGGGTGGCTTGACGTTCTGTAAACCGATTCCGATGAAGTAGGGGTTGAGGGCTTCAGGTGACGCTTTTGAAAGTGCTTCGGGCGTTGGATATGCTGCTAGACATTCTGTGGCGCGTTGACAAGCGAGATGTTGGTTTTTGGCGCGCTGTGTGAATATGATTGCGACTAGGAATTGGAACTGCGAAGAGATGTCAAATGGGCGAAAGCGTATGTGCACTTGATCTTACCTGGTTATCCTTGAACTGTAGAAGAGGGTGTTTTGAGGCGATGTTCGCTTTTCGAGCATTCTGGGATATTGATGGTGGAAGGCTTTGCCAGCTCGAGATACTGCTAGCAGTCGTTTCCTGGGATGAGCTTGTAACGGAGATATCGCTTACTTCACGTGACCATGCAGGCGTCGATGGTATTGAGTTTGGTGAAGATGAGATCTTTGTTTCCGTCAACAAGTCCGTAACGTGTTCGAGATTCTTTGCGGCAATTTCAGCATCTGTGAGATCTTCAGATGAGGGGTCGTTTGCTGGCGGCACTGAAGCCTCTTCTCTGTCTCTGTAATTATTCGCGGTTTCTTCTTGGACCTTGGATTCTTGCGTGATCTTGTGAAAGTTTCTATCATGTGTTCCTCCATCTCGGCTTGTATTATCCATTGATTTGAGAACCTCTTGACTCATGTCACGGATATCGTCACGGATATCATATAACACATCGCTACTTGGTGTCAGCGAGCGTCAAGAGTGTTTCCCGATAGCCTACCTGTGCAGCTGACGCTGTAAATCCAACATGATGGTCTTAGTCCTTTCCAAGCTTGCCCTGAGCTTTTTCGTTTGACTGGTTTTGGTTGCAAATATGAGTCGTGCACGTTTTCCAATCACATGATACGCGGCCAACTCCTTCTTAAGATCTTCGACGCCTTTCTGAGCGTGACCAATTGCGCGTGTCAATACTGCGCTTTCTCGAAGTCGCACATCACGCTCCTTGGATTGCCGAATTACTTGCGTGATCAAATCTTCTACAGATTCAATTTCGGCCCTCATATCGTGAATATCCTTTGGGCAGTCCTTCATGTTGGTCGTGAAGTCATACAGGAACTTCTGGCCTTGCGCAACAGTACCCACTAGGCCGACGAAACTAACCATAGCAGCGGCTGTTTCCATGGCGATGCCTGAGAGCACTTTTACTCTCTGGCTGATATGGCGGGTGATAACGACGCAAGACTATCTCACACTGTTGTTTAGCGGTTGGTGATGTAGTTGCGACAGATTGGCTTAGAGGTAAAGGAAGGCTGAGGAAGCAGGCTGAGGAAGGCTGAGGAAGCAGGCTGAGGAAGGCTGAGGAGGCAGTGCACCCCAAACCGCTCACCGGCCACAGCGGGGCGGAGGACACTGAGCGCTGCTACGTAGACAAGCGCTGTCTAGCAGCCACACGAATAAACATCCCCAATAGTACTATTTAGCAATATATTTCCCTTGCAAGATACACCACGCAGTACAAGACTTTAGAACTATATTGGGTAAGGTTGCTAATTTTATCCTGTGATGGGGTCACCGTCATTGAGGTTGGATTAGAAAAGTATAAACAAGGAGCAAAGCGCACTCCAGGAGGCTATGTTTGAGTAGCTAATTTTAAAAAATTTACTATGAGTCGTGAGGGTTGCTCCGTTCCCTCCCAACAACAACAACTGGGGATGTTGAATGCGGCACCACTACGGGGAAGAGATTGAGTCATGCTAGAGTTGAGCTCATCTTAAATAGTATGCTAATGCATTCACACTTTTAATCTCTAGTATATGGCATATTACATGAAAATTTAAACTAGCGTTTCCGATCGTCCAACTTTTATGACACACCCCGATCCCATGACCATTATCAATTTCCCAGTGTACAATCAACAATCTACAAATCCTTATTGAGATACTCAACAGGCCCAACATATACCTTGCGTCCCTTGATAGCAAAGTAGATTAACGAAAAGATGACAACGACGCCGTAAATTAAGATATTCCAGTTCATGAGCGCAGCCGTTGGGTGAGGGAAAGTAGGAAAGAAAACAAACACAAGCGCAATACATAGATACACGACGGAGATACCGTTGATCCAGATACCAGCGCGTCCGAGAGAGAATTTGCACGGAATCAGGGGCTCGTTGTTCCACCTCTTGATGAACATGCATGAAATGCTAATGATGTAGGATGATAGCAGCGCGCATGTGCCGAGCGAGGCGATGGAGTTAAAGGCAACGGAGCTGCCAATGTTGATGAGGGAGAGCAGACAGGCGATGAGAAAGGACATGAGGACACTGTTGAGGGGAATGTCCCATCCTGGCTGGACGCGGGAGAAGAAGGCGCTGAAGGGGACACCGTTGTCACGGGCAAAGGCGAAGAGCTGGCGCGAGCACGTAGCGACGTTGTTGACGCAGCCGAAGACGGCCATGATGGTGGTAATGGATGCGAGGACGGTAGCGCCTGGGACCGATTTGGTTGCGTTGTACAGAACCTGGATATGGGGTTGGCCGGTCGGGGTGCTGATAACGGTGCTCACGTCGCCGAGGCAGAAGCAAAAGGTGACCAGCATGAGGAAACCGAGGACGCTGTTTACAACTGCTGTGGCAATCATGGCGCGAGGCAGCGTGTAGGAAGCGTCTTTCAACTCTTCGGACATGTGTGTTGCCGCATCTGCACCCAGCAGGGCGAAGATGGGGGTCAATTGACCAACCAGCACGGATAACCCTACATTTCCCCATCCCGCATTATCCTGGAAGCCTCCAAAAACTTCCTTGGCCGAGCTGCGTGGCCCCAACACCCACATTGTGATGAAGACTGCGAAGAAACCGAAGATGTGGAGAACTAGGACGATACCTTCGACGAGGGGAAGCTTGCGGGCTAGCAGCGTGTTGAAGATGATGGAGAATGTGGCAACGGCTATTACGAGCAGAGTGCCGTGCCATCTTTCGGGAATGTAGTCGGGGTTATTGAGGATGACGAGGCCTTGGATTTGACCACCGGCTAGGTAGGCAATTGACGCGATACCTGTCTGCCAACCCAGGACGCAGAGCCAACCGACAACATAGCTGAGAAACTTTTGGTGTTTTCGTGGAGCGAACTCCGAGACCCAGTGGTACTGGCCGCCAGAGGTAGGTGCCCTTTGCGCATGTCAGTGATTGTCATAGTAACCATGGTGGCGTTTTCTCATGCACTGTCGCATTCCTTTCGCAGACCCAGATACACGCAAGGACTGTGAAACAATGTACTTGCATCGCTTGCGCAAGAACCAGTAAACAAGCACCTCACTTACATTGAAGCCATCTCAGCCATGGACACAATCACAAATCCCATGCATACTGCTGTGACGAGAAACATGACAATGGCGCCACCGGTGCCACCATTGGTCAGTGGGATGATCAGAGTACTGGAAAATGTCAGACCATACAAAATCGATTGTACGAACCCCTTACGTCAAGACGGTTTCCCATGTTGCCATGAGGACCATGGAGTATCCGAAGATGGACACGAAGCGGAAGTTTCGTCGCAGTTCCTGCTGCTTTCCCATGCGGTACATGTCCTTTTGGTCGCCAATAGTACCCTTCTTCTCCGAAATGACACCATCTTGCTGGAGTTCGCTGTCGACGGGAGACGAGACTACCGCCTCAGCAGCCTTTGTTTCCGACATGACTGACCAACAGAAACGAGCAGAAGAAGAAGAAAAAAACGTAAAGATTCAAAGAATAAGCACTGTGCAGGATGGTAAGGCGTACCGGCTGTGGCGTGGCTAAAAGTTGAATAAAACCTCCTCCCAAGGAATACAATCTCGCCAAACTCTCAACAACGAGCATGAGATATTAATCGTATGATTAAAAATTGCGTAAAAATCGCATTTCCCATGCTTTTGTTGCAAACGCACATAATACCCCATTTATGACCGGCTATTTCCCATATATGCGCTTAGTCTTTCGGCCCTTTCGCGTTTAGGTAGGTCGTTCTAACCAGGACGACATGTCAAACCACCATGTTCGAGCCGCGTTAGCGAAGGGTCGAGGTCGCGTTGGACTGCTGCACATGCTGGGGATGCAACGACGAACGATCAATGCACAGCAAATCTACAAACGAGTGGATCAAGTTCGCCCTCGGGTCATCAGGCCGTCGTGCAGGTGCAAGTTCTGATTCGCCCGTTTGTCCCAAGTCGCCCGCCGTGCCGCAAATCCAACCGGTCGTGGATTGCCGCGAAGGTGCAAAGGGCCGAGCGAAGAGGATTCCGCAGGATCTAGCGTGCTGTACTACTTCCTACGGAATGGGGCATGGGCTACTGTTAAGTAAAGGGTTCGGCAGGGGTGCGGGCCGGGGCGAGCGGTTAGAGCCACTCTTCTTCCTCGATACAAGCGATGCAACGTCCGTCCTTCCCCCCCACAAACCCATGTCCCGTCTGTGTGTCGATAGAGCAGCGGGTTCCTAGTCTCACGCAGCACACCACTAGAACGTGAGCAAGACACTGTCATAGAAAAATCTATCAGGGCAAAGTTCCGAGGAATGGCTCCCATCCCGTGTTTGCCATGCCTGCGGCATGATACGAGATATATTGCGTGCCGGCTGAATTGTAGCGATCAGCTCCCGCACATGTCCCATGTACATTCTGGCTTCTGCCGCAGCAACACGCGTGGTGTGAGGCTGGTAACTGTGACGCAGAAGCGACTGGAAGGATCAGAACGCTGTGCGAGGGAGTTTGTGTAACAAGAAGATAGTACTCATGTGTCGCTGGTACCCCCTTTCTTCTACACACGTGGTCACTCTGTGATTCTGAAGAAACTTGATCAGCGGGGGCTTCCCGCATTCTACCCTTCTTTTCACAATGGCAGCGGTAGCAGTTCCACCTGTAGATCGCAGTTATCGGTGGGCTCACATCACAGACGACGATCAAAGCGGGGTGCTGTACATTGTCACGTTTCTGTCGTTCACATACACCAGCCTTACGTTTCTGACGCGCATATTTATCAAATGGCGCATGTTGGGATTAGATGATGCGGCTATGCTGCTTGCACAGGTGAGCTTCCTTTTTTCGCTTGTAGGCCTTATGTGAAACTGACGCAGATGTTAGGTGACGGACTTGATTCAGTTTTCACTGCTACTCCTGTCGTTGTCAGCAGGACTGGCAAAGTCCTTTGGGACCTTGACCGATGAGCAGTATGCGCGTATGGCCTGGGTAAATAATATCTCTGTTAATTCGCATGGCACATCGAAACTATGTCTGATACGGTTTGAACAGGCATATTACAGCAACCAAGTAGTCGTCTACATCTGCCTCGGCTTCTCAAAGCTCTCCACCATCCTCCTCGTCCAGCGCCTCTTCACGAGAGAAATGCGAAATGCTTGGAAAACATGCGTCTTCATCACTGGCGTCATCACCGTCTGGACCATCGCCTCTGCATTCCTCGTCTCAATCGGTTGTCCCGCTGATACTCTATCCCCGCGAACCTCTTCCCAGATATGCGATGGAATCGAAGCCCGCTATTTATTTGTCACTGCCACAGACGCCCTAACCGACTTTATCCTCGCCCTCACTCCTACCTACCTCATCCGCAACCTCCAAATGTCCATATCCTTCAAGCTACAAGTCCTCGGCATTTTCGGGCTACGCCTACCTCTGCTTCTACTCACAAGCCTTTTCTTCCTATCTTGGCGAAAGGCACTGCATAGCGCGAACCCGGGTGTAGAGCGCGTAGGCGCGTTGGAACTCCAGCAATGTCAAGTCTGCGCCTCGCTTCTCACCAGCACCATTCCCTGTCTAAAATCCTTCATTCAGAGCTTTGACACAGGAAGCGGTGTCGGACCTGGGTTTGGCTACGGTTCCAAGTCATCGGGAAGGTACGGTCACGACTACACGATCTGCCACAGTGCGTCTCAGTCAGCGCGCCACGAAGTGTATGACATGTCAATATTGATGACGAACCGAACCGGGGGCTCAATATCCCCAGAGTCGAGGCACGAAAGAGAGGACATAGTACGAGCTGAAGAACGGTTATCGATAGTAGAGGAAGACACAACCACGGGTAATAAGAGCGTAGACCTGGAACGGCGGTCCAGCCAACGAAGCACAGAACAGTTGTTCATCAGAAAAGACGTCGAGTGGACGGTGAAAAACGAGCCTGCTCGCACCGATGCAGGAGTATACGTCCCTGGCAAACTTCGCTTGCCAAAGTAAACATGCGGACAATCTAATGGTAATGTAGACGAATAGACTATAACTCATCAGCCCTTCGAGATCTAACATTTACGACTACTGTCTTAGCCACCTTTATATTCCTGCTGCTTTTCTTAGTTCTTCCATCGTGCCGTAGCGTAATTACATTTCATCATATCACCGCATCGCACAAACACGAACTCACGCACTTCCAAGCACACAAAAGCATCTCAGCAAGAACGAAGCACAAATTTTCGAAACCTTGAATTCAAGTCTTCCTTCCCATTTGTACACCGACTAAACAAAACTCCCCCAAAAAGTCAAAACTAAAATGAGCGTTGGTAGACCAAGTCGGTACTACTTCTCCTTTTCCAAACATCCATATCAAATAAAGTGAGTGACTAATTCAGTATCCCCCATCCCCCACTCCTTTCCATCTCTCCACGCCCCGGCCTGCCGCCTAGAAAATATAACTCTGCCCCACAGTAAACCCCCCTGGGCAATGCACAAGATCATCAACAGGATGGAACACCGCCTCAGCATTCTTCGACCCATCTTCATTCTGCAGGGTAAACGGCTGACCATTATCGCAGTTGACGATGCGGTAGTGGAAACCGTTTGAGGCGACGAAGCGGCCGCCGTCAAAGGCGCAGGGGCTGCCGTGGCCCATGTAGGTATAGGCGCAGGGGTCGCGGCCCTGGATCCACACGGCTGTGTCTTTGTGGCCGTCGTTGTCGTAGTTGGCGTGACCGAGGATGATGGTTGCGGAGGAGAGTGTGGCGAGGAGGGTGGAGAGGAGGAGGGTGGAGATGTACATGTTGGAGGATTGGGTTAGAGTTTTTTTGGTGGTGGTAAAAGGTTAGAAGTGAGGAGATGGTGTTTGTGTCCTTGTTTGATGATTCTTTTCATCGTGTTTCTTGCTTGAGTTTATATAGACGGCTCAGTCTCCTATGGTAGCTCCAGCATATGTGTTTTACATAACACATTTCTCTATTCAGAATGTGTATGTGGTAACTTGCCATAACGAAGAACGAAAAGGCAACTCATATCGTGAACCGTCGTACCGGGTGTTTGTTTTTCTTTCTTTTTACACTATCACACGACGAATGCGGAACGTAAGCGCACTACCAGGTCAGATTCGGCCGCCGCTTACCGTCGATCTATTGATGACAAGACACATTCTATTTCCGTCTGGCGATTTTCACACAGGAAAGTGACTGTTACATAGAAAATAGCCTCCATCTTCCCAAGCAGCCTCGCAAACCCATTCCCAAAACCATCAACTCCCAAACGTCAACCTTCCCACTCCGTCCACACCACCTCACTCCTTCTTACCACCCCACATGAACAGAATATCCCCACCCCTGACCTTATCCACCTTCAGCGGATTCCCCTCGCCCTCATGCGCATTCCCCACCACCTCATCGAATCCGCACCGCAGATAAAACGGCGGCGACCCCTCGCTCGAAACAACACTCGCATCGACCCCTTCCTCGCGCGCACGCTCAAGCCCCCATTGTACGAGCAGGCGCCCGTAGCCGCGGCCGGCGTGTGCGGGGTCCACGGCGCAGAGGGAGAGGTACCAGTTCTCTGCATGGGGGCCTGACCAGTAGTGCTGGGTGTATTTTACAGAGTTTGCGAGGTGGTCTTTTTTGGTGGGGTCCGCGGCGCGGTTTTCGCGGGGTGAGACGGGTGCGAAGAGAGGGGTTGGGTCGGTGTGTTCTTGTATTATTTTTTGGGCGAATGCGTCGTTACCTTGACGCTGCCAGATTGACATGCCGACTATTTCTTCTTTTTCTTCTTTGGCGTCACCTTGAGACTGTTGGGATTCGATGGGACGCACGACGACGAAGACCCTGTTGCGCGGATTTGCCCAGTCGCGACGGACGACTCCCCGCCAGTAGATTTGCAAGTCGTCGGGGTACTGATCTCTATGTGGGTGCATGACTCGACCAAATAGGTCCTCGTTGTAAAAGGCGCGGGCACATAATGCGACTATGGCTGGCTCGTCCGAAGGCTGGGCGGGACGGAGATACATGGTGCTGGTTACGGCTCAGTCACTTCGATCAGAATAGTAGTTTCCCTTATGATATGGAATCTTGCCATACTCGGGGGCCAAAGACGCTTAAATAAGCCGACAGCTGACTAGTCTTTATAAAGTTAAGCCAGGAACAATCCTTCGAGACGGCTCGACTTATCGGAGGTTACCGGTAGCTTGACAAGGATTCATACATATGGATGTTGGATCCCCACGATTGTGAGATTTGGAATTCATTCCGACTAATTACAGTGTTCAGGTAGCCTGTTCCTAGTTCCATATTTTGTCTAAACCATATTCGAGTGGCCACCGGATGAAAAGAACACTAACTCAATGCGCCATGACAATGCTAATTATCCAATACGGTCCCAGAAGAGCATCCGAATCTAAGCATGCAGGGTATCTTTTAGGCCCGTTGCACCATGGGCTGGCTCCCCATCTTCCTTGAACTCCCAAGCCAGGAACTTCCAGTTGAGCTCGTTTGGTCGCCAAAACAAGCCGTTCTTCAGACCGGTGGGGGCCGTTGATGAGTTGTCCGGGCTATCTGCCGTCATGCCTCCGGTGTGTGGCATACGTTTGGCGAAAATGCATCTTCTGAACCTTGAGTGTAGAATGGCCATTGAGCACATGACACAGGGCTCGTGAGTCAGGTAGATGTCTAGGTCGACGCACAAATAGCCGCTAGAATGGATGTTGTCGGTCTCGAAATATTCTTCCTCGACTGAAGTGAGGGGGTTGTCGCAGAAGAGTGGGCGGTCCAAGTAAACGGGATCTGTGCCAGCAGCACGGAGTCGCTTCTTCGCAACCATGGCGATGGCACGCAGAACAGAGTGGGCCATGACATTGCCAGTGCCAGAGTGGGGTTCGGCTGTGCCGGTGAAGGATCTCCAACGACAGTCTCCAGCAACAACAATGATTTCGGGCTTTGTCCTGGTATGATCGACAACGACAACGCCGATTTCTTCACCTAGACATTGATGAGATATCTGCTCTCCAGCAACCCTCGCCAAGCCAAGATAGGCTCCCACTCCGGGCTGGATTTCGTCCTGGTTGCGTTGCACGAGGCTTGGATGAGGGCCATAGGGATTGGTATTCTTGTACGAGATTGGCCAGTATGCGTTGCTCCACTGCGCGGCCTGGTCTGCGGAGATGGGCGCCAAGGCTGGCACCGTCACATGGAAGATGCGCGGGAGGGCAGTCTTTGCATCATAGGGCGGACATGTGCGTATAATGGCTACGAGGTCAGCACGGCTGAGATAGCGCGTGGGACACAGCAAAAAGTAGCGAACTAGATCAAAATGTTCAGTAAGAGCTTCATCAGCAGTTTGGGCACTGCCTGATTGTGCAGGAGAGGATGCAGCAGAGGAAGATAAAAATGCTAAGGCAGGATCATCTTCGTCACCTCTCGGGAGCCTTGTCGGCGGATAGAAATCCTTTTGCAGATGTGGCGGCAGATACTTGAACTGCACAACGCGGCGTAAGTGCGAAATCTCGGATGTCCTGAAGTCGGGCAGGGCAGCTTGGACGGCACTGCAAAGTTAGTAGACGAGTCGGGCACATTCACAGTGAGTGAGTCTCTCACTCCTTGATGGCATTGGCGAACTTGGCCGGCACCTCGATTACATAGACCGGGTGTGTCTCCAAGCTGGCGCGCACCTCGTCCTTGGTCCGCAGGGGGACCAGACGGCCCGCGAGTGCGCTTTGGGTGCTCATAACACGGCCTGGTGGGTGGAACTATGCTCAGGCGGGCGAGACTAGTGCTATGGGCTGAGTTGAGCGGTTTGATATTTGCAGATTGTGTGGATTAAATTTGGGTTGATGGAAGAGAGTGGCAGGGAAAAAAAGTTGAAAGTAGTCAACCCCAATCTCAGGGTCCAGCGGGGCGGCGCTGCCTCTCCCCGGCCTTGGCCTTTCCCCATTCACCCAACCCCCACCAGTTCGCTCCTCACTGCCTGCTATGGAGAGTAGGAGTACATCACCACCGCGTTATTCTCAATCCAAAAAGAAGAAAGTTCCCTCGAAGAATAGCAGGGGTTAGCGAGACTAAGCAAGAGCCGGGACCGAATGCATTCTTCCCCGCACTACCATGACCGCAAGGCAATGCCAATCTTCCCCCAATACGGACCCCCGCATGCAGTCTTCCCCAAAATGCGGCAAATGTCACCCAGACGACATGTAACCATCCTGTAACCCCAGTCGCTGTCGTTTGCCGACATGCAAGGCCGTGGGGGAAAATGCCCGTAGCACTCGCCCACATGACAGGCTGCCTAAGGCATGCCCGTAGAGCGTTTAGTCCTGCTGTACCACATCCACGACCACGTGGAATTGTCTTTACTCTTCTTACCCCTTCCCATCGTATCGTTTCGTAACTCCAAGTAAGCAGCCATGGATGACAAAAAAGAAACTACTCATGTCGAGGTTGCCCATAGCCGCACTGCACACATCGTGCCCATCGACCAAGAAGCAAACGAAAACGTCAACCATGTCAACCTCTCTTGGCGATCATGGGTGGTTGTTTTTTGCTGTTGCTTTGCGTACGTCGTGTACTATAAATCTGCCGGAAAATACTCTTACATTCAACCCAGGGTCATGTCTCAGGTCTTTGTCGTCGTAGCTGCGGGTTCCGTCCTGTCCTTTATCATTCGCGAGCTGGGTGAACCTGCAATTGCTAGCTGGATCATTCAGGTGCGTGCCTAAACATAGCAGTGTAACCGGAAAATTGATTGATCAAAACAAGGGCCCGCTGCTCATGCAATCAGTCCTTTCGCCCCCAGTCGGTCGTCTTTCAGACGTCCTTGATCGCAAGCTATTTGCCACTATACCACCTCTGATAGCATGCGTTGGCGCCATCATTTGTGCTAAAGCCACCAGCATGTCCATGCTAATTGGCGGCGGTATCCTCATCGGCACAACGCTTGCCACAATTTCCATCGTCCAATCCATTCCCTCTGAAATTCTTCCTTTGAAATATCGCGCTTTGGCAAATGGACTTGCTGGTGTTGCTGGCGTAATGGGCGGCACGTAGGTTATGATCTACTATCTACTTTCAACGGCCTTTGTCACTAACGAGCTTGTAGTGTTGGCAGTTTAGCAGCAGGAGCCGTCACAAATCTTAGTGCTTCAGGCTGGCGCTACATCTTCTGGATCCAAGTCGCACTCCACGGCGTCACGTCACTAGGTCTTTTCACATTCTATTGGCCCAAGAAACGAACAGACTACCCACGAATGCGCTTCAAGGAATGGGCATGGGCTTGTGATCCTATCGGGTCCTTTTTGCTGGTTGCCGCTGCCACTCTGATGCTCCTTGCTCTCAACTGGGCAGGTGGTGCATATCGATGGAGCAATCCACATGTATGTGCAAACTTGACATGCGGAATCGTTCTCTTCATAGCCTTTTGTCTTTACGGTATGATTTCCTAAAAACATCAATCAGACACTATTAACACACCCCAGAATGGAAAGGAAGATCAGACGGCATTGTCGCCCACGTCTTCTTCTCTACGGGCCCCAACTTCTGGCTCTCAACCTTCGCCTTCACAATTGAAGGCTGGATCTACTACTCCGCCATCAACGCCGTAACCCCACAAGTCATCCTCAACCTCAGTTTTGAAGACGACTCCTGGAACATCGCAATCCGGCAACTATCCTATAAAATTGCTTCGATCTTCACTTCCCTGGTAGTAACATGGTGGGCTACAAAATTCAAAGACCTAAGTCCGTCTTTCCTTCCCCCTATCCTCCCAATCCTCATCAAAACTAAACTAGAAACACCCAGAAACACCCTTAGCAGCCACCTTCACAATAATGCTCGTAGCATCCATCTGCTTCGCATTCATAAAACCCACATGGGGCACCCTCCAAATCGTCTTCACAGCCCTCACCGGCATCGGCTGCGCAGGCCCCTTGACCCTCCTCGTCGCATGCATCCAGTACACGGCGCCCCACGCCTTCCTCTCCACAGCAACCGGTCTTGCCTTCTCTGCCCGCGCCATCGGCGGCTCTTTCGGCACCGCTGTCATCTACGCCATCGTGAATTCACACGTAGCTTCGCATCTCGCCCGCGACGTTGGGTCTGCGGCTACCAACGCTGGATTACCGGCTTCTTCCGTACCTGCGCTTCTGGCTGCTATGAAGGGTAAATCTGCGTCGTCGTTTAAGGTGGGGGCTGTGCCTAGTGCTAATGAAGCGATTATTAAGGCGGCGTGGAATGCGAGTTATTGGTCTTATGCGCGGGCTTATAGGCTGGCGTTTTGGAGTATAGTGCCTTTTGTAGCGTTGGCGACGGTTGCGGTGGTTGCGATGAAGGGGGTTAAGCATCTTATGACAGAAAGGGTGGAGGCGACTATTGAGGTTGAGAGGGAGGAGGGGAAGGATGGGAAAGTGGTGTAAGCGAGATGTTGTTGTAGCACCTTGAGCTGGATGATGTGGTGGTCATGTAGACTTATTGAAGACAAGGAATCATTTATCTTGCTTTCACGATAATGGCTGCTACCTTTCACCTGGCCACTTTGTACTTAACGTCCCTTAGTACTAAGAATTAGAATTGGTGCGTCACATAGGCCTATTCACCCAACTCTACATTGGACTGGTGATATGCTTTGCTTAGAAGATGATCTGATCAAGTCCTTCCTGACTCGATGAATAGAAATTATGTGCACTCGCAAAGATTACTTGGAGATAAGAGGGGAATGTGAGACAATTGGGTTTTTCTTATAGTCATTGATGTTGAAACAATAAATATTGTTTCATGCATGAATTCTATCGACTAGCTTCACGTGTACATGGGTCGGCAAAAGAACAGAAAAGAGGGACAATGAAAGATAAAACAAGAAAAGACACTCCAGTATAATCTCGTGTCCACGCTAGGATTTATTTTGCGCCAAAGTCTTTGAGTATCTGAATACACGCCTCCCAATTTTGTTTCCGTACCAGCCGTTCTTCTTCAACCTCTTTGTTCCTTCCCTCAAAATTCTCTACAGTATGGCCCGCAACGGTCTGATCCGAGTCATACCCATCAGACCCCAAAGAGCCAATGGATCTGTCAAACGAACCTGGCTGTGATTCGTCGGCAAGCTGGGAAACAGCATATGACAAGGGGGATACACCCAATTTAGGATCGGCGCCCTGTTTAAGTAAGAAACGCAATAGATCTGGCCTCGGTTCAAGGTACATAGCACAAACAAGTACAGAGTAGTTGTGGCAGTCTAGTGCGTGGAGATCCGCTCCGGCGGTAAGGAGGATTTCCACCTTTTCCTGAAAATGAGATCCTAGCAAGCAAGCCGACATAAGCACTGTGAATCCGCTATTGGTAGCTTGTTCAACAGATGCGCCGAGATCAAGGAGACATTTGAGAATCTTGTGGTCATCTTTTGCCGCCGCACGGTGTAATGGAGTTATTCCTTGAATGTTAGCGGCATTAACATCTGTTTGCGCCTCGACCAGCAGTCTTATACAAGGAATACTGCCTCCGGTAATTGCATGATGTAAAACTGTATCTCCTTCATGGTCACACATATCAAGTGCGCCCCCATGCTTGATCAACTGCTGGACGATTGCAAGGTTTCCACTTTTGTTTGCCGCTGCCTCATGCAATGGAGTCTGGCCCCACTCATCACCGATGTTCACGTTAGCTTGCGCCTCAAGCAAGACCATTGTAGCTGTGACACTCCCATAAGCGACTGCAAAGTGTAAAGCAGTCTTGCCTTCCGAGTTGCACAAATTGACATCGGCGCCGTGATCCAAGAACAGCTTGAGAACGATGTCGTGTCCTCTCATTGCAGCGAGATGCATGACAGTAGCCGAGCCATTAGAATGCCGCGAGTGAATCGAAGGTTCGATCAAGACACCGTGTAGTAGCAGCTGTCTGACAATCGCTTCATGGCCATAGTAAGTCGCAATCGCCAATGCAGTTGTTAGCGATGGATCACTTCCGTTAAACTCTGAAGACTGATCCACCGTTCGCTTCAACAGTGCAACAAAAGCCGCCTCAAGACCAAAATAAGCTGCCAGATGCAAGCCGTCCAGTAAAGACTCGTCTATTTCGATGTGCGGCCACAAAATCCAATTGCCTGTAAGCTCGTGATACAAAAAGCTGATACTGGGCCTAGAATCTGCTGGTCGATTGAGGACTTCCATGACCCTTCCATGAATAGTAGGGACTTGGCTAGCATGATGACCCCAGTTTTTCACGCTGTAGGTATACCAATCGTGACTTGCCCAGGTTCCACCCAAGGCAACGGTCCAATTATCTCGACTGGGTAAAGAGGAGGGAAATGTGAGATAGGAGAGACATGCATTTGTGATGAGGGCCTGCGCATGTGGAAACCAGCGGTGCTGTGTTCGTTCGAGGTATTCCTGCGTGGTATAATGGGCTAACCCGACAGTGTCACTTTCATCGTTGATTGTAACAAGTCCAGCGCATGCAGTTACAATGTCATCTATGTCTGGAAAGTTGTCCGGGTCGATGTTTGGGTTGTCGAACTCTGCGCCGAGTGCCATTTCCAAATCTAGCCTTGAAAAGCGGTGCTTAGTGCAAGTGAGAAAGGCCAATGCTTCCTTTGCCAGCTCTCTTTGATCATCGATTTGCCCTTCAATTCTGATCATCGCATCCTCGTATGCAGTATCGTAGGCCTTTGAACCAGTTGCGAGACTATGGAGTGAATTCCGTAGTGCCTTTGTGGACCTTTTCCCAAGCATAGAGTCTAGGTGAAGCTTGGCAAGGAGGAACCTACACAGTTAGTATAACTTCTGACAAGACTAAGGACTAACTTACATCCCTCGCACCGCTTCAACGATGCTGGAGACCACTTCGTTTTGGAGTTCTACATCTTTTCGTACGAACCCTGGAAGCCGATGTACTTGTTGAGTGAGGTACTTTCGAACATCCTGAGCATCTGCTTGGATCTGTAAAACGGAAGCAGTCGTGAATCGTTCGGTGACCTCCGGAATAACACGTGATGTGGCGAGGAGTTGGAGCTTGTGCCTTCCCTGTAACTCTTGTATAACACACAAAAAATCTGTACAATTTTGTTCGGGGGCCAAACATTCATCAACAGCGTCTAGTACAATGAAAACCCTTGAAAAGCTCGCAATCACAGCTTCTAAGGTCGGTACGACTGTCCTGACCTGACCAGAGTATTTCTGTCGGTGAGTTGTGTAGAAAGCCTCCACTTGTTTAGGCAATGGTAGCTGTTGTGCAACAAGCTGTTTCAGCAGGCCTGAAAAGAGAACCTCTAATGATTGCTGATCCTGACGACGGTAGTCAAAAAACAGATGGGCAAAGCCAACTTGAGGATTGGCGTAGAATCGGTGCCTCAGATCCTCGTTGATTATGGAAGCCAGAACCGTCTTTCCTGCACCCGGTATTCCTGGGCAGAACAATGTGGGATGCTTTTCAGCGAGCCAGTCTTGATACTGTTGTGAATTTAGCAGCCACTGGCCGGTTCCAGCTTGTCGTGAACGAATGGCTTCGCGTTGTTGGGACTCATAATCAATAGGGGTTAGCCATTCTAGGATGCTTTGTCGTTTCCGTATGGCTTCCTCTAAGTCATGGCGTTCGTGCAACTGCTGAACATGTCCTTGGACGCCATTCTGGCCCATCTCAAGTCTCCCGAGTTTTTCTGCAACGTTTTCAAGGGCAGCCTGATGGCCAACATCTCGAGTTCCCATCGTGGCTTTCAACTCCATAAGTAGCTGCTCGTTGTGTTGGGAGTGAAGACTGATCTTTTGCAGCAGTCGTGTTGAATTCCTGTCCAGAGCCAAGGACAACAAGTCCATCTCACATCTTACAGCGTCTATAAGTTTCCGTACATCTTGTTCCTTGAAAGGCCATTTCAGTTTCTCTACGGTGCTGTCCCGAGGGGAAAGAGCCTGAGCTGCTACGCTAAGAGCCTCATGGAGACGATGGAGTGGACTGGACAGTAACTGCATTGACTTGGCCCATTCTTCGCTTTCCTCGATGTTTTCAGAGTCTTCGGCTTCATCTTTGAGTTGGAGGATGATGTGGCTACACGCCCGTATCTGTGAGCGAAGGCGTTGCCTGTCATCCTTGGCCGCACGGGTGGCGTTAATGTACTTGATGAGTTTCTCGCAGAGTGTCGCAATTGCGATAAGGCTGGCAGCTGTATCCATGAGTCTAAAAAATCACGAAATACTAAGAGATGTGCTTAGAGGTATTCTATGGAGGCAGAAGATGAGGGACGGATTCAAGGAAGGAAGTTAGACTGATGCTGCGCCCCCGCAGCTGGAGGCCGTAGGCAGTGTTGCTCATGGATAGGTAAGCCACGTGCCGTCATGTCAAATGACTTCATACATGGCCTGATGAGCAACATCATGTGTGTGGCTTGGATAGATGCAGATTTTGACGAAAAAAGGGTGTAGTCGTTGGTACAGAGGAGATGATAGAGAGAAGATGGAAGAGTCTTGGCGTCGTGACTACTCTATCCGCGGTGCACGTGCAGTCGCGTTTAGCGTCGATGTAGCGCGACAGCGGCATCCCGTCCGACCCTGGCACTTTGGCTTCAACAACCATTCATCGCGACAATGTTGCCCGACGAGATCATTGCGCAGCTGGATGCCGAATTCCAATGTCGCCATCACCAAATACAGCATCTCACCGCTCTCTATAGTGTAGGATGCGCTCATAGCCTTCAGTATGCATTCGTTGTGTTGACGAACAATAACAGGCCCATCTTCCATCTCCACCCTTGCTCAACATTCACGGCCTGACAGCAACGGGCAAATCATCCATCCTACGCTCCTTCTTTCACCTGTCGCGCTTATGTCATACCATCATAAACGTCCGTGAATGCATCACCACGCGCCATCTTGTCGAGCGCATCGTCGCATCTACTCTCGATGCTCTCGACGAGTTCCACGACGAGAAGACAGACAGGAGATCATATGCGCGAACAGAGAACCTAAGCGCGCTATGTGTGAACATGGGAAAACTACTGCATGGAAGAGGGAAATTTGTCTTGGTGCTGGATGCCATGGACAAGCTGCGCGAAGGGGGAGGAACATTAATTGCTGCACTAGGACGATTGGGAGAATCGGTATGTCTCTGGCTATATCAACTTGAAAGATGCTTTACTAAGAATCCTCAAAGATACCCAATCTCTCCATTATCCTCTCAACAACCCTACCGCTTACGCCTTCCGTTCTCCACTCTTCCTCTACTTTGTTTCTCCATTTTCCGACATACTCACGCACCGACCTTATCGCCATCCTAGGTGCAAGCCCACCCAAAATCTTCCTCAACCCACCATCTCTCGAACAGTTTCCCGACTATACCCTAGATCTTGCTGCTGAGGATGATGCATGGCTCTGGGGCCGCTTCCTACAAGCCGTATACGACTCGCTCGCCAAACATACTGGTCGAGACTTGGTCA